ATATTGTACTTGTTTTGGGGAAATACAAAATCCGTAGGAGAAGCTATTGCATTTTACACTTCTGAAATGCACTTTGCTAAGCCTTCTCCTGCAACTTGAGTTGAAAATCTGACTAACTTAAGAGATAGAAAATCAAGCCCAATTAAGTACAAATATAGGGGTTTAATGAGTATATGTACAACAAAATCCATTTCAACATAATAATTATTTGGTATGGTACATTGTCTAGTCTGGTCAAAGTCTGGATTCTGAAGAAGAAAAACTTCTGAAGAAAAAAACTTTTGAAGAAAAGAAATATTATTCAGCATAAAATTTTGATTGGTTTCCATCTCATTGTTTTTTAAAAAATCGATAATGTGATTGTATCAATTTTAAACGCCCTAAAATTAGCTAAATCGGCGCTTTTACGGTGATTGCGCAATATGGGTGCCCTATGACCTTTGACTTTTTACGGGTCATGCTGCTCAGGCGCTAGGCGCCCTCCCCACTTCGGCCGTCCGTCTTGTGGGCAAATTTCTACTTTTTTAGGGGTTTCGGGACCTAAAAACTAACACCAGAGGGAAAATAAACCACATACGTTTTTTTCATGGTAAATATCGCTAAACTGGACCAGGCATTTTTCTGCCGCGTTGCCGATTTTGACAAGGACTTGCGGCCGCCGTGTGCTAAATACGTCGATTAGCTACTCGCCTTCCCCTTCGGTTTTGTGGGCAAATATTTGCTTTTTCAGACGTTTTGGGACTTAAAAATGGACAGCAGGCGAAAAATAAATAATATACATTATATTCATGGGAAATGCCGCTATCATGGACCAAATATTTATCTGTGACATGTTGCCGAATTTTGCGGCCGCCGGCCACTTGCTGATGGTGCGGTACGTATGGACATTTTTTTCCCAAAAATTAATAAACGTACCGTCCCTAATAAGAGTGTACCGGGTGGACGTTCGGGCCGAAAAAATAAACGTACCGGTACGTTTAATCGGGACATCAGAGTAAACCTATGAACCTAGTTCACAGTGCAGTGCAGGTTAGGTGCAGGTAGACATCAGAAATACATGTGCATGTAACGTTGCAATGTACCTGCACAGCTCCAATTTTACCTGCACTAACCTTCTTAAGCAAATCGTATTTCAAACCCTGTTTGGGAAATAAAAAACTGGTTGAAACCGGTCCTGAGAAAGAAGGAAACTAAAACGGACGTACGCAATTTGTAATTCCTAGTCACTGGCATTAAAGTAACTGGTCCCAATTTATTTAGACAAGTAAAAGTTAAGTATGGCTATTACAATTTGATCCCGTGGGAATTGTAGAATAACACATTAACAGGTGGCACCATTAGGACAAAAACTTGAGTAAAAAGAAATCCTTGGAAACTACTGTAGTGCTTAATAAATATTCTTGGTAGGAAATTGAATCAAACATATACTGATTCGCAGACAAACATACATTGTCCTTGCACCAAGTCTGCCTTGTGCATTTTAAAATTGAAACTTAGAATTGGAAAGAATAGATTAGGAATAAGAAACCTAGGATAGGATTTTTGTAGTTAAACATTATATAAAACATAAGATTTAAAATAGTACAGCAAATAGAAAAATAACAAAATGTGTAAAAGAAAAGACGTTTCTTGATCATTTTTCCGTCAGATTTTGTTGAAATAACTTCCAACTGAATACATTCCCTAGCCTCCGTAGCAGGCTTATAGAACTGGGGGTTTGGTGATCGGCTGTTTTCTGATTAGCCCAGTTCTAAAAACGGGGGTAATTCAACCAGGCCGGCTATGTTGTCTATATGCAATCAGAAAATAGCACATAAAAGCTCCCAAGACCCTGAAGGTCCCCAAAACCCCCAGTTTTTTACATGCAAAGGAGGCTACAGATTTTGACCCTGTTCATACCAGACTTATATTTAGCGGTTTCAACCGGTTTTTCAAAAACCTTTATTTAACCTGGTGTGAATGCAAATTAACCAGTTTTTTAGGGGTTTAAATCTGATTTTCAAAAACCACCCCGAGGTGGTTTTGTAGGGTTTTTTTTGGGGGGGTTTTCCACCGAAAAACCTGGTCTTTGTTGAAATAGTCCAACTGGATACATTGCCATTGTTTGCACTCTCCCTGCTGCACAATGATAACATCATGCAGGATGAGGTCAATCTCCTGTCAATCAAGTAAAAGTGGGCGGAGCCAAATGTGTTATCACCTACTCAGATAACAGCAGGACACTAGAGGGGGGTTCATTAGATTGTAAGTAATTACTTAGCACTAGTTGGACCAGATGTGTATTGGGGTCAGTTTTTTTAACCTCCTTCCTGCTACATAAACCCAAAACCAATACAGATTTCATGGCAATAGGCAAAAACAGCAGGGGGATGGTTAACTGGCATGTCTGAATTCTTCCTTCTTTTACCAGATATTGGATGTGAAATCTTTGTAGTGAACATGGAGCAGATTCTTTGAGATTAAACGTTAGATTTAGCATCTAGTAGACCTTCGTAGTTACAGAAAGAAAGAAGAAAATAAATTGGCACCAATAATTAGGGAAGCATTTTGAAAGAAGAAGAAAACTAATATTGTATTCAGGACACTTAAATGAATGCTGGATTCTATTGTGAGAATTAAAAAAAATGGAAAAAAACTGTAGCATCCCTAATTTGCTTTTTGCAAAACAAATTTGTGCTCCTGTAACTAAATTTGGGTCTGACCCACTAAATAGTAACGAAATTAGCAAGTGAAATTTCACCATTTCAGGTATGTCACCTACTGTTGACCTTTTCATTTCTTCAAAGCGTAACGCCTTTCCAGAAAATAGTTTGTAGCTGGCGAAAATCTGCTTCTTGTTTAAAGCATAGTCATCACATCGCAAATTGAAAATGACGTTTCATATATACAGGGCTTGAAGTAGTAGTCACTGGGTGTGTTTTCCTTTTTAGTATGACCTCCTAAACAGTTTCATACGGACATGTGAGTAATCAGGAGCTGACACTTAAATCTAGTCCTATGACATGTACATGTTTGATGTGTCTGTCCCTGGCTTACACGAATGTGACCTTAGGCCTACTTATTAGGAAAAAAAAAATGTTGTGCTTCCTGTTCCAGTCCTGAAAAAATTAGGGGTCAGTAGGTAGGAATTATCTTTTTTTTTTTCTTTTTAAACTTTGGGGATCTCTAATGACCCAACTGATACAATACAGTTGAACAAAGTAAAACTTGCATGAGGACACTTACAATCTCAACGTAAATGTTGGAAGACCGATTGTACAATAATTCATCACTCAGCCAGGTGTCAGATCATGGATGATGGAGCTAGAAAAGGTCGATCAGCTCAAAAAGTTTATGTCTTTTGCAGGAGGTACACACAAAAAAAGGCTAGGGTCGGCAGCTTTTTCCAGGGTCGGTCGGGAAACAGGAAACAGTATTTTTATACGCATGTGACCTTATGACAGGCAGGGTTTGGCACAGTGATATCATACATGCAGAAGTCACGAGAGACAAATACGCACGTACGTGCTATATTTGATTGGAAGCACTTTATTTGGCTAGACACATGTCTCTGTGGCATACTTACCAGTAAAAGCCATACATGTATGTACAATGTCTCTCACTACTGTGTCAAATGATGATGACAGCCAACTGCTTTTTATATGTCACTTCAAATATATGATACCGTAAGATTATTTTAAGAACTGTTTTTTTTTTACCAACAAGACAAAAATTTAAACTCAGTCTGTTTCTGTTATAATTTTGCAACTTTAAATTCAAAATCAATTTTACCACTAGAAAACTGAACCCTATCCAGATTGCTTATTCTAACCTGAAGTCTAAGCAAAATATTGCCAATTTGGTGCACCAAAGAACCTCAATTCTATGGGTGAAGACCAGATCTAGAAGCCTTGTCCTGAGTTTACATTGACGATGGTTATACAAGTGTGTGCATCTTTTGTTTGGATCTTAGGTACACACGGACGTCACCTGAACATATTTATACAGACCAGGCTGAGCAAATGTCACTGCACTAAACATACACAGACGTTTCAATATCTATCTAAACCACTGCAACCATGCAGAATAATCATCCATTTCTCAATAGTGCTGACGTTTCTACAACCTCATGCATTTTGTATGGGAAACAGAATTGATTTGTAGGTAAGGTGACAAAAGATTTTGCTGCAGAATAAAAATCTTTTCAGTTGGAGTGATAGGGGAAGTGCTAGAAGCAATAAACATTGACATGAAATTTATTTATCTATTATATACAACTCAGGTAGATAACTATCACATTTTCAAGATGGAAACACAAGGCCAGACTTTAACCACTCACACCGGGAAGCGTTCCTAGTCTTTTAAGTACTTTGGGCTCTTTAACATGCTCAAGGTGTGGCTTTACTCAAACACAGGACCTCTGGCTTTATGTCCCATCTGAGAGGATGTCCCTAACCAAAGCTAGGTACTCATTTTCACCTGAGTCACCTGAGTCAAGTCAAGAAATAGGTGTTAAGTGCCCTTCCGAAGAGCATTTGAGCTTGCCATGGCTAGGGATTCGAACCCAGAACCTTCAGAATTTCTGAGTCAACAACCCTAACTACAAGACCAAGTAGCCACTACTATGTATTGTTATTATCATTCAAACCATAGCATTAAAGTCCTGTTAAAATGACATCATGCATAGTAACAGTCATTTTGTTACTATGCGTGAACAATTGGCGAGTTCCTGTTGAAACAGGTGTAGCAGGCCAAAATGTACCCACAGCCAGAATGTACACCCGAGTACATTGTGGCCTGGGGGGTACATTCTTGCCTGCTACACCTGAGCATCACATTTTTTACACATTGACAAGATTTAAAATCTGAATGAACACAGCTCTTATGTTATAATATCTTATTTTTTTACAAAGAAAATCAGTCATTCAGAAAGGGAAGTTGTTTTGTGATATTTTTGTTCCAAATTAGACATTAAATATAATAGAATATGTCTCTTTTTTATCACAGTGAAGATTGAAGAAAACAAATTAATGTTATTTTTCTGTTTTATTAAAGCATTAGAATTGCACAATCACGAATGATAAAGTTATAAATGATGATACAGTGCTACGTCGTAAAATTGATAACCCAATACTACTGCGTATTCTAATTGTCAATAAAACCATATGTCCAGGAAATTCATGTTTTTCTGTTTTGTTAAAGCGTTAGATTTGCACAATCGTGAATAATAAAGTTGTAAATATAGAATACAACACGGTGTATTCCGTATCGCCCGAGGTACCAGCCCGACCGCGCGTCGGATCGCCCGATGTCATACCCACCCAAGAAAACACGCCTTTCAATGCGAAATGAGCGAAAATTTGGCGAAAATTTGGCGTCCGTATTTAGCCCACTAAAACGCAACAACATCAATTCCAACGTCCAAAGTTTGTATTCGAATTTTCGAAAGCGGTGCACACGGTTAGGGCGAAACGCGTTCGAATCTTTCTATGGAACATTTGGAAGGCCCGGGCCGTACGGGTTTAGAACCCCCAGGCCGTACGGATAGTTATCACACGGGCCGGAACACCCGTATCGAACGTAATCGCGGCCCAGGTAGGACATAAATGATGATATAGTGCTATGTCGTTAAATTTATAGCCCAATGCTACTGTATATTCTTTGTCAATAAAACCATATATCTAGCCATGGAGGTCTTTACTGTGTCACACTGGAATGACGACATTATGTCACTAGCCCACACTTTCACCATCAATATAATCCTGCGTTATCATCAATAATTCATACGTTTGAATGGCTTTTTGAAACCTATATTTCATTATACGGGTAACAGTTATCTTGGAGTGTGGCCAATTATTCTTATCTTGTTTTTCTATGGACTACTTCTTTTCCTGCATTATGCTAAAATGTTGTATACCTGCAATTAAACTTAGTCTAGTATTTTATTTTTACTTTGTCGAGGAAGTACAGGGCTGCAAATACCATATACGTACATGCATGTACGTTAAACTTAGTTTTACTTTTAGTGTTCTCTATACATACTTTTCTAAATTCTGATAGGTGCGAGTAAAATTATTCTGGTGCAGGTAATTTTTTTATTGCACCAGTACAGGTATACAGAAGTATTTTGAGCTCTGCATGCTTTTGCCTGGATTTAGTCAAAGTACACCTATGATACTATGCAGACAACTTTATAATTACGGTTACAGACAATTTATGCTATTGAATTTAGTGAAATGAAGCAGAAAACCAAAAATAAACCCACCCTCCATGTTAAATGTCATATATTGATGATACACAGGCATTTTCTAAAGATCTCCATCCTAAATGTCATATATTTGATGATACACAGGCTTTTTTTTAAAGATCTCCATCCTAAATGCCATAGATTTGATGATACACAGGCTTTTTTTTAAGATCTCACACTTTTAAGCCCTAATCATGATGATAATTGCATTGTTTACACAACATCGTGTACAATTACAAAGTAAACAGTAAACAAAGGTGTTGGGTTAAGATGAATGTCTTGCGGTGAACCTCAAACTAAAGAAAAGTTAAAGATATCCACCCATGTGTGAGGCCCAGGTATGTGGTAGTCTAAATTTAACCTGGCAACAAAAACAGTGTGGAATCGGCTTTCATACCTCACTAAACACTTGTTATATCTGACCGCTTCTAAAAAAAGCAGTTTTATAGTCTTAGACTATAAAAGCTTCTGAATCTAAGTTTGTCTCAGTTCTTAAAATGAACTTTTAAGTCAAGTTTTGGCAGCTTCGTTTTTAAACCTCAACAGCATGTCTAGTTGAGAAATACATGTTTATTTGGTTGTATAAATTCTATGAAATGACCTAGATTAAATGATCATTTTCAAATGTTAGATGATTTTCATGTGAGAGTCACATGTACATTGTACAATATGTACTACCAGATGTAGCATAGATAATTTAAAAGCATTTCAGATCCCATGTTACTCTAGACTATACTGTGATTACTTGTTGCTCTTACTAATAATTATAATAGTACTGTAAAGCTAGGGGGCTTCAGCAAGCAACATAAGTTTAGATTTGTTCATTACTCATGAAATAAACAAAATATTTTACTTTGACTAAAAATTATTTCCACAAGTTGTGATGTTGTGCTGAGCTTCACATGTTGTTGTTGAGAATGTTTGCTTATGTATGTTGTACAGGGTATAAGACCATATCTGTTTCTGTATCTATATAGCCGGTATGACTGCCCTTCGGAGTAACACACCAGCTTCGCAGACACGCGGCGCGGCGGCAGCTGGCTACATTACACCTATCGACTTGTTACACCTAACCCTTGAACTTCTAACTTTAGACATTGTTTAAAGCTTAATCTAATGACAATGCCCCTACTGTACTTGGTGACAGTGAGTTCCACTCTGCGATAGTTCTAGGAAAGAATGAATTTTTTGTGTGTGTTGAGAATGTGATATAAGACCATAGTGTTGAGAATTTTGCCATGTATTTTGTGCAGGTTATAAGACCATACTGAATGGCCTGTCTGGAAAGTTCTTCAGTGGAGAGCTGGCTGCCATCATGGGGCCGTCTGGAGCCGGGAAGTCTTCACTCATGAGTATACTCGCAGGATATCGGTCAGTATATACTGTAGAGTATACTACCAGTGTACTATATACTGTTTGTACATACATGTAGTAGTACAACCAACTACTAGTAGATGGATGGATGGATGGATGGATGGATGGAAGGATGGATGGAAGGAAGGAAGGAAGGAAGGAAGGAAGGAAGGAAGGAAGGATGGATGGATGAATGGACGGACGGGTGGATGGATGGATGGATGGATGGATGGATGGATGGATGGATGGACGGACGGGTGGATGGATGGAAGGAAGGAAGGATGGAGGGAGGGTGGCAGGGAGAGAGGGACAGAGGGATGGATGGATGGATGCATGGATCGATCAATTGATTGATCATCAAAATTTTAACATGTTGATTCTAAAAGGCTATCTGTGACTTTTTAAAAGTTTTGAATTGAATGCCCAGAATGAACACTCACTTGCACTCCACTACCTGGAGTTGTAACAGAGAGACTGTAACAAACAAGTCTCAAATTCTGTACCAGCCAGCAAAGCCCTTACATTGTACATACAAAAGCCTTCAGTAGAAAGGAAAGAAGGCTGATTTCCACCCAAGGTCAGTCCACACAATGGACCACAGACTCCCAGCCTGTGGCCTAACTCTCAGCTTCCTGTAGTCCTAGAAACTGGGGCTCCGGAACCAAAAGGGCAGACCTCCAACCCTCTCTGCTTTGTGTCATAGCAACATGCTATTAGATTTTCAACAAAATAGATTTGGAATGGCAGCTCAGAAACCAGCAACAACCTTGAACTCACTGGGTTTATTACAATTTTGTATTATTTAATACAATTAGATTGACTTTCAATGAAAGAGGGGTTCAAACATAGCGTTGGTTCTCACAGATGTTCCTAGTTTTGTTTCACTCCTAGACGAACATTTGTTTTATATTATTTGTAGGGTATCCTTGCCAGAGTAGATATTTTAGATGATCTAGATGCGTGTGGAAAGAAATTACTTGGAGGAGCTTTTTTTTGGACAGATGAAAGAGTTTTTGTGGTATTGTTATTTAAATGTGATAAATGCATGTTTCCTGGCATGAAACGTGGTGGGACATCTGCCATAGCAACATGCTATTAGATTTTCAACAAAATAGATTTGAAATGGCAGCTCAGAAACCAGCAACAACCTTGAACTCACTGGGTTTATTACAATTTTGTATTATTTAAAAAAATATCTAATACTGTAAAACATGTCTTTGATATTCACAGTTTTTGCAGTCACTTCTACGTATCTGCATTGCAAATTTATCATTACCACGAACAAGTAATTCTTAGATGTTTTTTCTGCACCTGCCACCACTAGGAAATAATACTACTACTAAGAATTGATGCATTTGATGAAAATGAAGTTTTTTCATATTCTTTACTTTAAATTTCAATTTGTACTAAAATTACAAGGCTTTACAGTGATAGGTGCCCCCACAAAATGATCATGTGATGATGGAGTCACGCAAAGCTGAGTGCCTGAGAGATGGTAACTTCCTGTTTATCAGACTGAGTGTGCATGTACATGTATCACTATCAGGGCTAGAAACTCATTTTTTGGGAATACTGGGTGCACTGGTGCATGCACCCAACCTAAAAAATTGGGTGCACAAAAAATATTTTGGGTGCACCTGAAACCTAAGTATTACTGCCCCTCTTCTGAGTTTGTATCTGAAATAGGAGCTAACTTCAAAAGCTCAAACAATCACTACAACAAAGATTGTATTATTTTTATGACACTTGTAGGCCAAGAATATAATATCCTGTATATTAAACCTTGTATGTTCCTTATGTATGTATGTCTAAGTCAAGTAGTGCATCTTTTGTCTCCAATTTTCTATATACGTTTGTTATGTGTCTGTTATATCTTGACCTGTACCTAGCCCGTCGTGGCATGAATGTACAATAAAGGTATTTCATTTCATTTCATTAAACATTGAATATGAAGCAAAATACCTATAAAAATATTTGGGTGCACCAGTCACCCACAGAAAAAAATTGGGTGCAAATCTCCAATTTTGGGTGCACGGTTCACTAAGGTGCACATGCACCCAGTAGTTTGAGCCCTGTGTACATACCATGGTGTACCAGACACTGGTATTTGTGGAATCAGCCAATGCCTGGAGGTATCGATAAGAAACTTGTTTCCCTGCCAGAGCTCTCTACATGACTTTTGGTCTAGATTTTTGCCTGACTGTCCTCTCAGTTTGACGGAACGGAACTCCGTTTTTGGGCCACACTATTTAAAACCTTATGAAATGTGATAGAATTTTTGGCAAAAATATGTTTCAGACTGAACCTTTTCTAAATATTGACTCAGAGACAAATTTGTTGTCAAAAGAAGAACAAGTGTCACTTCAGTTCACTAAGATAGAAATCTAAGGAAAACATTGACAAAATATCCTCACTGACAAATAATGCACAATGTGCCTCGATGAAGGCTAGACATCCAGGTAATAAGATACGCCAAAAAGCAGTTACTCAGGCAACTGGATATGATTTTGAAAACGGTCAGACGCATATCAATCAATTGTTTGTGCTTTTAAACCCGCATTTCTCCTCTGGTCTCTCAGTCACTGACGAACGCTAGTGGATACTAGCTGAAACGTCTGACCATTTCCAAAATCATATCCAGTTGCTTGAGTAACTGTTTTTTGGCGTATTGCACAATGTGCCTGTATACAGGGAGCAGAGCTGGCCCCATGTATTGATTTTGTGAGAGAGGGTCATAAAAATCAATAAGTGTTGAAATGTAAGAGGACAGTATCGATTCTGTCACAGTTTTTAATGTCACTTAAAACAGGGGCCCAGACAAAACATACAGTCTTAGTTGTGTTTCCATATGTTGTCCTTAAAGAGGTAGGAATGGTAATATTTCATCTATTAGTAAATAATATATATAATATCAATCAATAGTTTGTGCTTATAAACCTGCATTTCACCTCTGGTCTCTCAGTCACTGACGAAAGGTAGTGGATACTACCTGAAACGTCTGACCGTTTCCCAATTTGAAATAATATCCAGTTGCTTGAGTAACTGCTTTTTGGCGTATTATAAATATCTCTAAATTCAGTCACAAATATCCATGAATACACCATACAGATATGAAATTTGACAATTGTTAAAAATAAAGAAACATGACATAACACGATTGTGCTAATTTAAGCCCATTTCTTACATTTTAAAAAACAAAATCAGCATTTCTTCTTCAACATTCTGTAAATAAAAATAAACCTGACAGTGTATGATGCTGTGGTGGACAAAATATTTTTTAAGTGCCCCTCCTCCTAAGGAATATTTGGTACAGCCCAATTTGGAAATTGTAATCTAATATGGCGGGTCCGGGTTGACGTCACATTACGATTTGGTAGTCTCAATGACGTAGTCTCAGGGTCACATGGTTACATTATGATGTCAGTTTATATCATTATGATTTCAGTTAATTACAATTTTGCAGGAATTTTGGATGAAATACAGTTTGCATGCATGTCACTAAATAGGGGCAATGTTGAAATTAATTGTAAGTGGAAGTGAGGATTGAATGATTGAATGAAAGGAATATGGATAGATGGATGGATGGATGGATGGATGGGTGGATGGGTGGACAGATGGATGGATGGGTGGATGGATAATACCATGGTCATTATTGATGACTTTTTGTTGATATTATGTTAATGATGAGCTAAATATGCATAATATCCATCACATTCAAACTCAAAACACATTTGACCCAGAGAAAGCTGCTGCAGCTAATTGATATAAAAAACTATAATAAAATCATACTGCTTTCAGCTTCCTCAAACAATCATTCCCCATCCACTGCAAAGCATTTTACAGCTTGTCTGTTGCTTAATAATTTTAGCCATCATATATACATGTACCAATGTTTTGATGCTTACAAAATGTAGCTTTAAACAACCAGCCCTTCATTGTAGTACAATTTACCAAAGTTGTAGAGCATTTTCATTTGATGTCTAATTTATAATAAAAAGAAATCAAAATGGCTCAGACAAACACAACAATTTGCATTTCTGAACCAGTGAATCCTAAAAATCTACTAGTAACATGAGCTAGCCTGGGTACCATCCTGGTTAGTTTACGTCCGCTCCCACAGTTGCTCCTACCAACCAACCAGACTGGTTGGTAAATGTAAACTAACCAGGATGGTACCCAGGCTATATTTGAGCCACAGCCCATATTAGTATGCAAATTGGTGACACCAACATGGCTGCCTGAGCCAAAACTATGAACAAAGCCTGGCTAATGTAGCATGTTATAATATATAATCCATCCATGCTTTACAAAGCTTGGCTTACTGTACATGTATGTTACTATTGTTAGCCCAGCACATGTAATATGTTTAATCAATCCATGCTTAGCTTGGCATGTGTTAACGCTTGCCTCACTAACCTCCCCCCCACCATAGGTCTGGCTCCAGCACGTCTTGCTCCTGTTTTGACAGTACCGGTGGCATCAGCGGATCTCTTCTCGTCAACGGGACTCCCAGGAACGAGCGCGACTTCCGCAAGATGTCGTGTTACATCATGCAAGAGAACCACCTCCTCCCACATCTTACAGTTATGGAGGCCATGATGGTACGTAGGTACCACAAAATTAACAACAGCAAAAATATATTTGCATTAAAAAACAGTAAAAATTTAAGGGGGAAAAATTTATTTATAACTAGAAACTGATGAGGTAACATTTGCAAGGCAAATGCTTATAATAATGTTTACCTTCGTATTTGGTCTGCTCTGTTAATTCTTACTCAAAGACATTCATATATGTATGGTCAGAGAGGAGTCTAAATCCCTCCTGCTATGAAAATGCAACATGATGTAACCATGGCAACAGACACATCATTGGTTCAGGTCAGGGGTCACTGCTTGGAGAAGAAGAAGAGGAAGAGGAAACTGAGCAAAAACAATATGTTTTATGTTACATTAACAGAAGCAGTCGACATTACAAAAGTTAAGCCACATCCTTTTTTTAGTAAGAGAGTTATTAGCTTAGTAAATAGAAGTTCTGTGTCCTGAAATGCCAAATGTCAGGTTGCCTTTCATCTTTAATCGATTCATTCTAGAATCTATAATTAGATCTTCCTGACAGAAACGCAGAGTGGCCTACATTATTTTATAAATAGACTGACATACATAATATTATTATGCATGGTTGCCATGTTAGCTAACAGTATTCAATATTGTATTCAAAAGTTTTTAATGATAATCTGTTCTGTTGCAACTTATTTTGTAGTGCATACCTGTGTATTATTTACAGCTGTATGCAAATCTTGATAAACTAACTATTATGTGAAAACAAAAACAGTTACCCTTATGAAGAAAGTGGTCAAAGTTAAGTCAGTAAAAAAAGACTTAGTATGACATTGTAAGTCAATGATATTTTTTTCAATAAATTACAACAACCCTAACTTCAGATGGTTGAGACAGTTTTAAATTTGGGCTTACTAAAATCTTGCTACAAATTTTTCCATTAGGAAAAGTCTAGCCTTTGCCAGACAAGTTGAGAGACACTTGAAAATGTCCAGACACTGTGCCAAATATATTCATCCTCCTCTTGTGTAATTGTAAAGTGCTTCAGAATTTGAAGAATAGGATAAAATCAGTCCAAATGTCACTTAAGTTTGATTGAAAGCTCTTTGAATGTCTAGTAGTCAGTTCGAATGAAATTAATCAACAATATTTTCTGCATGTAGAATTATATCCTTCATATTAGCCATGTCACGAGTCCTAATAATCATGGTTACAATAATCAATATTATAAGTTAAAAAACAATTTCCCCAATAATCATCCAAATTTGTACCATGATGATCAAGCATGTTGCTAGTTATGTTGACCTTAGCTAGATTACTAGAATGATGTATATTTGACTGTTGCTAGATAGTTTTCCTTTGCTAGGCATATTGTCCATTGCTAGAGCAATCTTTGCTAGATGCCGTGATTTTTGCCTGAATAATTGACATTTTAACCTTTGCTAGTATATATATACGTAGCTACAACAAATGTACATCTATCACAATAACGGATAGTGGCTATAGCTCACTTAATTCAGACAAGGAGAATTGCAAGCGTTATCTTGAGTGCTGGCAGTAATGGGAGAGTGTGCAATGGTGCCAAGAGGATCAACCATGGACGTCACAGTGTCTGGTGTAGCTCTCAATGTAAAACTGGTGCACTGGCTAAGAAGAATTTCGAGCCTGAATTGAGACTTTTACTATCATAGCACTATTTTTTAATACACTTTAAAGCTAATAGATTCTTTCTGTTTTAGCTCTTGAATCTAAGAAAACATAAACCTTTAATTTTAAAACCCTTAAGGTCAACAATCCAGACTAACCATTGGTCAATTCTAATGTATTTAGCACAAACAGATGGAGGAACTTTAAGTGGTGAAACCCAATCAGTTGCCTTTCCAGCATATCAATTGCCTCCATTTTCCTAATTCTTATACAATAATTATTACAGACAGTACCCTCTGAGGAAGAAAAACAAAACAAATCTATTTAATATAAGAACCAAGTTTTAGAAACTCACAGCTCTTCATAATCTTCACAATTGGCCGGGGATTGAACTCACAACCTACTGAATGCAAGGCGAGCACTCTTGGCCAGTGATATTCCAATGATTATAATGTATGATATTCTAACTTTTGTTGTCTTTATCTACACAGGTTTCAGCAAACCTGAAGCTGACAGAAAAGACACCAAGACGAGAGAAAAAGCTCTTGGTAAGACAGTACATTTTCTTGTATCAATAGCTAGTCTCCAGAATCTGTAATCTTAATTGTTTTCCTTGCTATTGTTGCCAACAGAGCATGCAAAACATTACTTTAAGATTTATCACCTGTGACAGCTTTTTTGCATGTGACAGCTATTAGCACCTGTGACACCTGTTTCACACAACACCTGTTTGCACCTGTGACACCTGTTTGCACCTGTGACACAGGTTTGCACCTGTTAGCACATGTGACACCTGTTAGCACCTGTTTGCACCTGTGACACCTGTTAGCACCTGTGACACCTTTTTTCACCTTTGACACCTGCTTGCACCTGTGACACCTGTTTTGTACCTGTGACACCTGTTTTCTACCTGTGACACCTGTTTGCACCTGTACGTGACACCTGTTTTGTACCTGTGACACCTGTTATCACCTGTGACACCTGTTTTCTACCTGTGACACCTGTTTGCACCTGTGACACCTGTTTTGTACCTGTGACACCTGTTATCACCTGTGACACCTGTTATCACCTGTGACACCTGTTGTCACCTGTGACGCCTGTTGTCACCTGTGACGCCTTTTTGCACCTGTGACACCTGTTTGCACCTGTGACACCCGCTAGCACCTGTGACACCTGTTTGCACCTCTGATGCCTTTTTTCTGTGTTTTTAGTTACATGATTGTTTAGAGTTTAAACTTTAGATCCAACACAAAAAGAGGCCTCACTGGGTCAGTCTACTGGGGAAGACCAGTCAGAGTGACTGGTCAAAAGCTCTAGGTGAGACTGAGAGAATTTTTTGTGTTGGATCTTAAGTTTTTAACTCTAAACAAACTTGATACCTGTTTGCATCTATGACACCTGTGACACCTGTTTTCACCTACGTACAGGTGGAAGAGATCCTGGGAACTCTGGGTCTGACCGACTGCGCGAACACCCGCACCATCAACCTGTCAGGTGGGCAGGCCAAACGTCTGTCCATCGCCCTGGAACTGGTCAACAACCCTCCGGTTATGTTCTTTGACGAGCCAACCAGGTAGGCGGAGAAAAGGGTGCCTGCCTACACCTGAAGTAGCAATTTCCTTTTTGAAACAGTTCAATTTTATTGGAGTATTCTAAGTTAGTAATTTCACTGGATACATTGCAATGTTATATGTGTGTATAGGCTCTTAGCATTGCAGTCTCACTGGATACATTGCAATGTTATATGACTTCTGTGCATAGACTCTTAGCAATTTCATTTGAATGTAAGGTTGATTGATGTGCCCATAAATTGACAAATAATTGAAATATATACCATAAAACTGTGACAGCTGAGTGACCAACAGATTGCTCAACAAATTTCATGGAATGATAAAAGAACAAGTTTTAAATACTTAGCATTTTTGTCCATGTTAATAAAATTGTGTAATATGCTGCAGCAGTGAAATTAGTAATTGATTTATAAGTTCATGAAACCTTGTTCCCAGTGGCCTGGACAGTGCCTCCAGTTTCCAGTGTGTGTCCCTGATGAAGTCTCTTGCCCAGGGCGGTCGCACCATCATCTGTACCATCCACCAGCCCAGCGCTAAACTCTTCGAAATGTTTGACAAGGTAAGAAAATCCCTGAGACTGTTCTTGTCAAGCTGTGACTCTCCTCAAAGAATAAGGAAGCTCTATTTAATGTCGTATAAAAATTATATACGTGCATGCATATGTATTCTAGAACCTAGAAATCTTTGATGCAGTATACTTGTTTAAGATTTTGAAGTTTAGCTCCCATTTCAAGCTCAGAAGCAATAAGATCTGTAATTAGGTTATGTTTTATATTGTGCACCCAAAAATTATTGTACACCTAATTTTTAGGTTGGATGCACCAGTGCACATATTCCCAAAAATGAATTTCGAGCCTAAGGTAAACTGGTCTATTGTGTAATAGAGAAAGTTTGTAAGTGATCCAATATGTACCCGTTCCTCCCTTCCACAGCTGTATGTTCTGGGGGAGGGTCAGTGTATATACCAGGGGAAGGTGGATGGACTCATCCCCTACCTGAAGGGACTCAACCTGATCTGTCCCACCTTCCACAACCCTGCTGACTACAGTAAGTACCAGGTCTTCAGTTATTGGAAGAGTTCTCAAACTGCAAGTCTAGCTATAGGAAAGTTTAGTTTTCTGTTTGGGCGTAACAGTGATCGGTACCGCCATTTTCTGTATCATCTATTCAAAATTTATCCTCAGGTTTGCCACAGTAACAGTCACTTCAAAATCATCCAGTATTAAAGGAAAAAAGTATGAACAGTTGACCTGTATTTTTTCTGTATTGTTATACAGTTGGTGACAAATTATTTAATTTAAGAAAAGCTACGATCACCCTGTATTATCTTCCAAGAAGATTAGAAAATTATTTTCTCATTTATTTTGATAAAAGTTGTCATTTTTTGAAACTCCATGAACATGTACTTTCTGGCCTTTAATCTGCCTAATAGTATCAAATAGGTTATCTCTAATGCATGAAATTTGCCTTTTCACATTGCTTTGGTTACGAATACTCGATCTTTCCCTGACAGTTATGGAGGTGGCCAGTGGTGAGTATGGGAACGTCCTACCCCAGCTAGTGAAGGCTGTACAGAACGGGGAGTGTACCTCCTACCACTGTAACTCCCCCATCCGCCAGGAACACAGCCCAACCAAGCTCAGACAGGTGACATTCATAGCACACAATTTGTTTGAGTGCTGTGGAATTTTGATAGTGCTGCATACCTAAACCCACATTTAAGTTCAAGTCCGGATTCAAGTCCAGAGGTTTAGGTTCAGTTCCGGACTTGTAAGTCCGGACCTAAACCCATGGCATATAGAAAATTGTATGCTGGCAACCTTGCAATGTTGTATGGGCAAAACTGTGGCCACATAACATGGACACTTGCCGATGCCCGATGGCAATGTTTTCTTCATTTTGCAGCACAGATTTTGTAATCTACGGGTTGTACAACAAGACACAATTTAGCCAATGGCTACAAGTTCTTGTTTGTTTCCACAAAATATACCATTCGATTGATTCATTGATTGATTGATTGACAGCTCATCAAGAGCGGAACCATGACCGTTAACGAGGCCAGGAAGCTGAGGGAGGCACTGGAACAGTCTGGGCAACTCACGCCACTCACTGAGGGGGAGGAGGGCAGGGACGTAAGTGGAAGCATCTCATTCAAAAAATTTTTAGACTTAAAGTGAACCAAGGAAGAACACACTAATTCTAGTCTACACACACAGACTAGACTAAGTATAGAGATCACTCTCATTGGTCAGAAATGATAAATGCATTTTAAGTGAACCAATCAAAAGGAAGGGAAGCGCTGGAACAGTCCTGGCAACTCACGCCGCTCACCAAGGACGAGGAGGGCAGGGGCAGTGGGAAATTCACTCTGTTTAAAGTTAAAACTTTTGGTCCAACACAAAATGTTCTCTCACCTAGAGCTTTTGACCAGTCACTCTGGTCTTCCTCAGTAGACTGACCCAGTGTGGCTTGTCACGTGGCTTCTTTGAAGTGTGACGTCAACACTGGGTCAAAGGTATCTGGTAGACGATGTCGGCCCCCGTCACAGTTCTGTGAAGGTTGATTGCTCTCATTGGTAAGAAAGATGATTAGTTTTTAAGTGAACCAATCAGAAGGAAGGGTACACTAACTCACTAATCAAATAAAAAGACTGCTTGTTTGTCGAATTAAAAGACTGTCTGTTTGTTGTAAACTGAGTTGCATTTTTTTTCAGGAGTTTTTTGGTGAAGTTGAGCATCACAAGAACACCTTCTCCACCTCCTGTCTGACTCAGTTCTGGGTTCTCTTCAAGAGGACTTTCCTCACAATAGTCAGGGACACAGTAAGTAGTTATCAATTAGTAATTGTTATAATTAAAAGTCAAACTTGTCAAAAATCAGCATGCAAGCAACTTTTCTCACCTTAAATTTAGGAGGTTCATCAAACTTTTTCATAACTTATTAATAAGTAAGAATTATCTAATTTTAAAATTCAAGTCCATCCCACACCATATGTATAAGGTGGCACCTATCTCTGTTTATTGAGTCCTTGAGCCACACAACTGTGCAATCACAGGTAATAGTATACAGATTCTAAAGGATGCCAACCCACTGGTAGAACTCCCATTTCAAAATTTATAAAATTAATGCTGAGTGGCAAGCAGAGAAAGCAGCATTTACCTCAGGCTGATATTAAAAAAAAATGTAATTTATGTGCTTTATGTGCTTTATTAAACTCCATAATTCTCTTTGGTATGACCTCATTGGGGTTGAAATCTGCGATGTTCCTATTAGTATGAAATTTTACGCCAAAAAGCAGTTACTCAAGCAACTGGATATGATTTTGGAAACACGTTTGAGCTAGTATCCAGTAGCTTTCGTCAGTGACTGAGAGACCAGAGGAGAAATGCAGGTTTATAAGCACTGAGGTTTACAAGCATGAAACTTTCTCTGCTGGCAAGAAAAAATTGACAATGTGTGAATTTTTGTAGGTTCTGACGAGACTGAGGCTGTGTTCCCACCTCCTGGTTGGCCTGCTGATCGGGATGCTCTACTGGAAGATTGGCAACGAGGGCAGCAAGGTGTTCAACAACACAGGCTTCCTCTTCTTCTCCATGCTGTTCCTCATGTTCACTGCCCTCATGCCAACTGTGCTCACATGTAAGTCAAAACTGCCCTCATGCCAACTGTGCTCACATGTAAGTCAAAACTGCCCTTATGCCAACTGTGCTCACATGTAAGTCAAAACTGCCCTCATGCCAACTGTGCTCACATGTAAGTCAGAACTGCCCTTATGCCAACTGTGCTCACATGTAAGTCAGAAGTTGGGTTATAATCAAGTACCAGAGTTATCAACCAAGGATTGAGGTGTTCAAGAATTCATTCTTTCCTAGAACTATCGCAGAGTGGAACTCACTGTCACCAGGTACAGTAGGGGCATTGTCAATAGATAGCTTTAAACAAAGTCTAGAGCTAGAAGTTCAAGGGTTAGGTGTAACAAGTCGATCGGTGTAATATAGCCAGCTGCCGCCGTGCCGCGTGTCTGCAAAGCTGGTGTGTTACGCCGAAAGGCGGTTATACCGGCTATAAAGATACAGATACATACACAGAATCAGACCCAGTCAAGTACAATAATTTATATACAATACAACACGTGGTATTCTGTATTGCCTGAGGTCCCAGCTCGACCGCGATCCAACTCATGGGAGGGCTCGGGCCAAGGGTGATGCAAAATACACTGTGTTGTATTGTATAATATAACATTGAAATAATATTGTAATATAATGCATAAAAAGCATATAGATTCAATGCACAGTGGCTGTGGAAATAACTGAATTTTTGCAACCCGCAAGTAGGAAAAAGTCAGTTACCAAATTGAATGCATACATGTAGCTACAATGTATCCCACCATGTAAGTTGTTCAAGGCTTGTTACAGTAACAGTTACTGTTCCTTCTAATATGAATGATGACAATGATGATGATTATACTGATTTCCCCCCCAGTTCCTATGGAGATGTCAGTGTTCATCAGGGAACACCTGAACTACTGGTACTCACTCAAGGCCTACTACCTGGCTAAAACACTGGCCGACGTGCCCTTCCAGGTATGACTACTTTTCTTATCAAAATGGACCATAAATTTAAAAGCAATTTTATGCCATACCATAAGAAAGTTATGATTGTTTTGTTTATTGTCTATGATATTTGACTGTCAAAGCAAATTTATTCAGTGACAAAATTAATGTAAAAGGTAGTTTTGAGGTAATTTTGCTAGTTTTCTTAGTTGTATAACTAAGTACAATGTACAATGTACAAATTGTCTCTATTAAAACAGTTGTACATTTAATGTTGTATTTGATAAATATGTTATAGATTAAAAGCAAACTAGAATTTCTAGTATTGTACATGACATTGTCTATTGAATTGGAGATTTCTTGTGCATTACCAACATGCCTGGCTTTATGTATGTGCATGCATCTAAATCTTTTAAAACTTTTTGGGGAGAAAAATGCCATTATGATAAACATACCTACTTAAGGGCAAAGGTGACTTGGCTTGGGTGCCTATACCTCTTAGCATGACATACTGCTAATCAGCATTAAAAACCCCAGTCCAGATTTAGGTTCAGGTTAAGGTCTACATGTAGGTTTAGTTTCATACCTGGACCTGATCCTCAGGACCTATAATCTTTTAAACCTGGTCGTCTGAACCAATACTGCACCTAAACTTGAATGTTCTGGACTGGTAAGACTAGACCAGAGTATTCTGGACTTAGTAAAACTGGACCAAAACCCCCAACCCTAAACAGCCCTTCTTACACATCTTCTATACCTATCCCCCCCAGGTTGTCCTGCCGGTGCTGTACTGTACCATAGTGTACTGGATGACGGAGCAGCCCTTCGAGGCCCTGCGGTTCACCCTCTTTGTGGCTCTCTCGACTCTAACCTCTCTGGTGGCTCAGTCTCTGGGGCTGCTGATTGGAGCGGCTTCCACATCGCTTCAGGTATCTCTCCATGGGTTCTTAACAGCTTCTAGAACACTAATAAAAAAATAAGTCTTCTTTTTCTCCACAGGGAGGACAAGTTACCAGAAAGAGTCACAGAGGAGGTCACTGGAGCTTGTTTGTAGCTGTCAGTGCCATCCTAGAGAGTAAAGAGAAAACTGAATACTATTAGTTATACTATTAAAAGTAAACTAAATTTCTTTTCAGTACCTTTGAACAAGCAAGTTACATGTATATGACATTGCGTACAATTCTGATGACAGATAGCAACATTTTATTGTTCAAAACAATTGGCATCGGAGTCAAATTTTTTAAACTAAAAGTGGAGATGAAACTATACCTTAGAAACATCTGAAGGCATTACTCCCAAGAAATTTGTGCTGTTTTGGTAAAGTTTAGGAGCAGTTTTCTCATCTTGTATCTCTCTAGTCACTGCACTGACAGTTGCACAGTGTCCAGACCTTGACCTCTTACCCTAGACCTCCGAACCTTGACCTCCATGTTTGACCCCTGTGCTGTCCCGACAGCTGGTGCTGCCCCTCCCCTACACAGTGCTGACCTACTTGCTGACCAGCCAGCCCGTGGAGTGGTGGAGGATCCTGCTGTTCCACGCGCTGATGGCAGAATTGTGTGTAGTTTCTCAGGCGCACGGATTAGTCATCAGCATAGTATCACCTTCTATACAGGTACTTCTGTAACAGTGGCAGGGCTGAGTGGGGTTCAAGCGCCGCTAACAGATCCATTCCAATCGGTCCGGACCTTTTGGAGTAGTTGTTAGCGCGCTTATACGCTGGTGTTGTAATGTATACATTTATGTGCTTTCAAATATTGGCTAAGAGGCATTTGATGAATTAAAACATTGGTGTACAATAATTGGTACATATCAACAGTTGTTACAGTAACGTAACTATAATAGTCATAACGTATGAAGTTGGTTGATTGTTTATCTTTTTCTTAATTTCTTTTGCCAGAAATGTGTATTTACTACCTATTCAAGACCAATCCAGTTTGTTCTTGTTGCATTAAGTTTTTACTACAATCTATGTCTATTATTCCTACTTCATAACATGCTTCATGAACATATGCTTCAAAGTCTGTTTAGAGTTAAAACTTTTGGTCCAACATAATAAAGTTCTCTCACCTAGAGCTTTCGACCAGTCACTCTGGTCTTCCTCAGCGAAGCTTGTCACGTGGCTTCTAGGTGAGAGAACTTTTTGTGTTGGACCAAATGTTTTAACTCTAAACATGTAACTACTAACACAGATGTAACTTTCATGATAATTTATAGTCTCTTATTTTCCGTGAGTTAAGAGTTTTTCTGCCCCCCCCCCCAGGCTGCGACGTTCCTGGGTCCCGTGACGGCCATCCCCATCCTGCTGTTCTCTGGGTTCTTTGTGAACTTTGACACCATCCCAGACTACCTGCAGTGGATGTCCTACATCTCCTATGTCAGGTACAGCTTCGAAGGTAAGATTAAGATCTTTTTCTTTGAATTCTCTCTATGTACATTGTAACAGCAGTTTAATTCCAGACTAATTCCCATATCTCGGCAACCTTTCCTCAAGATGGGCTAATATCGTAGACTATCTATGTAAAATAGTCTATAGCCATCAAGGACCCCATGAAGGAAGATTCGATCCGCGGGAGGGCTGGGACCGAGGCCGATGTAGAATACACCGTGTTGTATTTTATTTATATATATGTCATAACCATTCGAGAAAACAAGACATTTCAATGCAAAATGTGCCAAAATTTTGACCGTGCATCTAAACAAAAAGTGCAACGGCGTCAATTCCAACATCTGAATTCGGTGTTCGAAGTTTCAAAAGCGGGGCACTTGACGCATTTTAATTACAGTAACTCCATAATATGACATTTGGAAGCCCAGCATGTACAGTAAAGTACGGCTTGTTCCGGAACACTGTATCGAAGGTTATCATGGCCAGGGTATGACATACATGTACCTAGCATATTTGGCTTCTCTTTCCTTAGGGATCCTCCTTTCGATCTACGGGTTTGACCGCGGCCCGCTGGACTGCGAGGAAGGGAAGTTCTGCATCTTTCACGAGAGCGAAGACGTTCTGAAGGAGATGGACGTCCAAGACGCCAAGCTGTACGTGGACTTCATCGTGCTGGCAGTGTTCTTCATCCTGCTGCGCCTGGGGGCATACCTGGTTCTCCGCTGGAAAGTCAAGTTGCAACGTTAAAAATCCTCCAAATTAAGGCATTTTTACTTCATGTTTAACAGGGTTTTTCCAGAAGAAAAGGAAGATATGTCAAAGAAATCGGGCTGAAGTTTAGGCAAATTCAGCATTTTCCTTTTTTTTTTCAAAATATATGAAAGAAATCGGCCAGAAATTTAGGCAAATTTGGAAATTTTATCTAAAGTCAAGGCATTTTTCTTTCATGTTATCCTTGGTACAAGGTTCGAGAAGAAAAGGAAAATATATCAATGGTTTAATAGTTTTTTTCTTGAAGAAAAGAAAATATATCTAAGAAATTGGGCAAAAGATAAGTCAAATTCGGAAAGTCAAGGTATTTTTCCTTTGTGTTATTCTTGGTAAAAGGTTTGACAGGGTTTTTCTAGAAGAAAAGAAAATTTATCAAAGAAATTGAACAAAAGTTTAGGCGGTGAATTTAATTTGAAAATTTAATTTAAAGTCAAGGCATTTTCCCCTTTAGTTTGTGTTATTCTTGGTAAAATTAAAGGTCTAACAGTATTTTTTCTGAAGAAAGGAAAATATATCAAAGAAATCAGGCAGAAGTTTAGGAAAATTCAGCATTTTTTTCTTTTAAGTCATTCTTGGTTAAAGGTTTAATAGTTTTTTCTAGAAGAAAAGAAAATATGTGAAAGAAATCGGGCAGAAGTTTAAGTGAATTTGGAAATTTAAAGGCGTTCTGATAATAGGAGTTTATTATTCCCACATGCCGGAAGATTCTGATATATTCTGAACGGACTTTGGCCTAGCAAGGCAGTGAGGTCAATAATAATTTTTCAGTTTAGGTATGATTTTTTCCAAGAATAAAATGGCACAGCCACCCATGTTGCCCGTTTAGAAAAAACCACTTGATGACTATACATTGTCAAAAGATATTATTTTGAAGAAAAACAAATGGCTATCTTTTGAGTTGATTGGTGGCAAAAATGTCCTTATCTTCAGTTAACACTTTTTTTTTTCAAGGAAAGCAACAATTTTACCCAGTATACCCTTTTTGGAGGTATGTTAAACTGTTGGGATTGATCTCTGGTGGACAAGCAGTAAAAATGACACCCAAAAGGCTCCTCCCCTGAGGCAACGCCAAAAAAAAAGTCAAAACTTCAGCAAGTGAAGCCTTGTATTGGAGAAAACAGCAACTAAATGTACAGAGAGTGCAGAGCATGAGCAAGAAACAATTGAAGTGGTCTGCATTAAATCTTTAACACATTGTTGTACAGGCATAGGGAACAGGGTGGAAATGATTCACTTTCATAAAAAAAACAAGCCTTGAATCTTTACAAAAAGACCATGTAAATCAGAAAACTTGGTTCACATAATTTTGTATATAACCAGCACCTGAGCTTTAAAGATAGGGAAAGCTTTTGGAGCTGTCACTGTATACTAGTATATGAGGGAAGGAAAAGAAAATATTATACGGAAAGGAAGCGGAGAAGTCATATTTGTTAAAAAGATATTAAGAATTATCTAACATGTTAAGGTTTATGATAGAGTGGTAAGATTTGACCAATGCAACTGCAAAGCAATGCAACTTTTATTTTAATGCACATCAGGGGAAAGTTGATATTATATACTTAGATACTAGTATATAATATTATGTTGACCTGTCAAAAAGTGTCAACTGAAGAAAAAAATAACTTTCTCATTTTGCTGATTTACTTAAACTGAAGATAAAGCTATAAAAAGTAATTCTTCACCTCTATAATACATCCTTTTTAGGTGGAGTTTCTACTTAATTCTACCAATTTTCTGACATTTTTGTTCTCGCATACATTCTAGCCAGGACATCAATTTTTTTTCTTCAATATTCTGAAATAAGAATAAAAGAAATCACCAGTAGATCTGGTGCATATTATCAAATTTAATATGATATCTTTGGGGATCTTTTAATTCACAAAAAAAACGAATGCAAGAAAATTACATAATAAACTGCTATCAAACTCATGATAACTATTTCAAGAGAAAGTATTCAAAATGCAATTTTTCAAGGCCAATGAATAGTGCAAATATAATAAATAACTTTTTGTTCCACTCAGCAACAAAATTTAAGAAAATACTGAACATAAAACACCTAATAACAATGAAAATGTTTCAAGTCACACCACAAATTTGTGCCAACAACATTCACACACAGGCCTTTAAAATACATACTATAATTCTGTTGCACAGTTACATGATTCTAATTAAGAAGAGTTTAACATTAAGACTTATTCACTTTGCATTCTTGTCTCAGGACAAAACTCTTGAGCAATGCAACTATAGGCAGAAGCACTGCCTTAATGCAAAAACTCCTCGCGAGTTTATAAATAACGTTAGAGTGACACTGTCACATTATTTGCTTAGATTTACCCATAGTTTAAAGTATTTAGTCGTTAATGCTTATAGATATTGGAGTGGTGTACACAATGTAATTTGTGATGTTTATATAGCCTCCATAGCACGCCAAAAACTGGGGGTTTGGGGGGGCTTCAGGGTCTTTGGGAGCTTTTATGTGCTATTTTCTGATTGCAATTATTATAGACAACATAGCCAGCCTGTTTTTAGAACTGGGCTAATCAGAAAACAGCCGAAGACCACCAAACCCCCAGTTCTATAAGCCTGCTACGGAGGCTAATGTTTATATGCCATTCTATAATGATAGCTTCAGTAATAAGTATTGTTGAACTAAATGTTTTATTGTTTTTGACATGTAGTTGTTTTGAACTGTGGTCTAACTTGTTATAGGTGTTGGGCACTGAGGGTACATGTGTGGTGTAATACTAAACAATCTTGATGGTACATGTCCTCTAACTTTCACAGTATTCGTAATCTGAAATGTGGTATTAGGTTTTGAAACAGTTACTGTTAGTGTTTTTTCCAGACATACATGTAAACGTTAATTGTTTAGACATCATTGTGTTTTGGTATCAAATTTGAAACAATGTATGCTGATTGTCAAGATTGCATATGGGACCATTCAGTATCTTATAGTACACAATCATTTTCATTTGTTATATAGACTAAAAGACTAGTGATGCATACCGGTTCACTGGACTTGGATCCGGACTTGTAAGAATGTTTAGGTTCAAGTCCAAAAAAAACAAAAAGTCAAGAACCGAGTCCGGACTTATTACCATAAAAGACCATTTCACATACCCCTTTTCTTTTTAAACCACCTAAAACCTTCCGTAGATTCCAAAATCTTTGCTGCAAAATGAAGAAAGCATTGCCATTGGGCATCGTCAAGTACAGGCCTCCATGTTATGTGGCCAAAGTTTCACCCAGACAACATTGCAAGGTTGCCAACATGCAATTTTGTATATGCCATGGGTTTAGGTCTGGACTTACAAGTCCGGACCTGAGCCGAAACCTCTGGACTTGAATCCTGAACCTAAAATTGGGTTTAGGTATGCATCACTATAATAGACTAAGTTCTTTCTTAAGTAACGTGTCATTTCTCATTATTCTGCTGGCTACCTTAAGACTGAAGTATGAAAAAATGGTGTTCTCAAGAATGACTTAAAGACTTATCTAAAGTTAGTGTACCTTCGTAATTACTGATGCTGCTTTTTTATAGTTAAGTAGTCTTTAAATTCACCAGTCTGTAACCTTTTTTTGGTCTTAGGGTACCAGACTACCAGCTGGTACTGAATTTTGAGAGTTTAAAACACTTTCCATCACACTGGTTCTGTGAAGGTGAAAGTTGACTAGCAAAGTGCAACTAAACTTTACATCTTATACTGGCTGTGTTATTTGTGGAACATCTGTGTTAAGCCGTCATGTATAGTACACAGTGCTGAGTATACGTTATGTAACTGCTTCCTTTCTCAGTGTTATAAGTACATTATATATTAACCTTATTGTACTAAATATATAACTTATATCATAGCACATTATATTTAGTGTTGTCTAACAATAGCATAAGTCACTGACGTTGTTTCATCTTGCTCATAATCAGTATTAAGTCATTATCTAAAATGATTGGAAGAAAGATATACAGTTGAGACATTCTTGAACAAAATGGTTAAACCCCCGTTTCTTCATTGGAATCATCCATTGGCAGATGTATTAGACAGTTATTTAGGTTCTACCATTTTGCAAAATGGAAGTCAAATGGGTGAAAAAAGTAATCTTCAAGTTGATAGAAGCAGTGCTGGCCACATCGTCATATAACACTAACAACTTACTAAATGAACTAATATTAAAGCCCAAATTTACAGTTGTTGTAACTTGTTAAAGTTGATCATCTGGAACATGTAAACTAAGAAGTCCTCCTCACACTATACATTTGAGGGAAGTGCCCATTTCAGTGTCTATATCCCTTTGGGTATACAGCTGTGAACTTCACTAAGTCTTGGGTTTTCTTACTCAACATCTAATTACACTTGTTTTGAAAACATGTGATGGAAATATATACCAATATTAGAGAATGTTAGGTTTGTGTTATTTTCTTTTTGGAGTAAGAAAGAATGGTGTTAAGTTTAGTATCTGTTTGCTGGCAAGCGAAGTGGTATAATATGAAGTTTGAAATTTTGTGACAGTGTGTAAGTTTTGTTTAAAGTTTATTGTGAAGATTGTGAATGGAATGTTCCCAGCAGGTTTTTGAAAAGAAAATTTCATTTTCATTAGAAATTCGTTCTTGAAGAATTTAATGTAATGTACTATGAGTGAGTTCATTGGTGTAACTTAACAGAAAAGTAGATACTTCGTAGATACGCGTATATTTCCTGGAGTATATTGTAGTTTCTTTTATTTTCTAACCTACCAACAGTTTTGGTTGGGGCTTAATTCTTATCTGGCCACATTGTTCCATTTTGAGACTAGCTGTTTTTGAATGTCCTGGCAGCACTTGGTGTAAGGTTTGCACTGTCAACATAGCTAAAAGTTTGATGTAACACTTTTGCCAATTCTTACACGTTGAACAATTAATATTTATGTTTATTAAACGTATAACAGCCATGCACTATATTACATTATATTATATTAATCAGAAATCTTATTATAAGTCTGCGTGTTAATACAGAGCAGGTTGAAACTGAAGTTTAATAAAAGTGTTCAACAAAATTGAACCGCCTTTTAGTGATTATTGACTGGCTTCAATTAGACAAGACGTAATTCACTGATATCACATGCATCTAGTTTGGGTGCCACAAGTTCAGTGATGGTGAATACCATCAAGCATAAATTATTAAAATGAACTTATTTACATAATTTATGTGGGAATGCTAAAATGACTAATGATTAGACTGAATTTAGGTGGAGAATATTTTAATAGGTATGATAATACTTCATCGTATATTAGGTAAACATATTGTTTTTTCTCAGTTTCCTCTTCTTCTCCAAACCAAAAAGGTCAATGACATGGCACCAGACGTCTGTCACCATGGTAACTGGTGTTGAGTTACATCATGTTGCAATTTTATAGCAAGAGGGATATAGACTCCTGTCTGACCATATGTATGAATGTGTTTGAATTAACAGAGCAGACCATATGCAAAGGTAAACATTATGTATTTGCTTTGCAAATGTTACCTTTCTAGTTATAATTCACAATTGGTCGTTAGATGCTGAATGTGAGGTAAATTTATTTGACAACACAGCAGCTCCCCCAAGCGGTAGTCTAAATACGTGCAGCAATGAGCTTTAGGGGCAGTTGCCGCAATTCATTTTCACAATTCTTCGCTTTTGCTCGATTTTACCTCAAAGAGATTTTTCCACAACAGTCCTAGGAGTATATGAAGCAATACAAAGCACAACTTACCACCAAAACGGACGTGGCGCGTCTTCCTGGGCGGATTTTTGGCCCCGAATGTTCTTCCCTTCCACGCACACTCGCCATCTTGGAACGGTATGTTTCACATACAGATGCCACCTGTTCATCATGAGCAAAATCTGAATTTGATAATCAAGTCAGCATTAGATTTTCAACCAATGCCAAGCCAGTGGACAAGCACCGTACTGAGGTGGCAAACTACAAACATTGCAGCGTTATTTTTATTGTAATCAATTATTTACTAGTTAATATACAGAGCATTGAAATCTCTTGAAACCTTCAATCTGTCTATGATGACTTGATTGGTACAATAACAACGTTATCTTTCTAATTTATCATGATCACGCTAAATCTTGATTAATTTTAACATCCTTAAACACAGAATGGCTTACACTTAGGCTCACTAGTAGTAGTCTTATGTAAAACTCTGTGGATATGTAAAAGTCTGCGAATATTGTGCACAATTAAGTCAGAAAAAAATTATAAATTGAAGTACCATTTCCGGCAACATCATAAGTGGCCTAGATCTTAATAACAAACTATATTCTATACCATTTAGACAGTTAACATCTCTAGTTTAGTTCTAACATTAATCATTATAGATACAAAGATACATTCGAACCTGAAACACACTATTCAATGATGGACATTACATATATACGAGTCATTCGGTGTTTTACTTGTAAATCACACATTACCTAAATTAGCGAATACTGCAACCTTAACTACATTTAATTAAAAATTAATAAAGATAAATAAAAAATGAAGTTCTGGATTTACAGCCTAAGTGCCGGTTGTTTGACCGACGTTTCAATAACACCTAACCTACCTTTATCATGACTCTACTACCTTAACTCCGTTTATGCCCTATATGGCATACATCTTAAACTGTTTGAAGAAAGGAACAAGGCATTGTTTACGGCTTCTCTGTCACTTTACATACTAAACGCGCTCGTTTGAGTTTTAAATCAGCTCCCCCATCTCCACACTGGTCCTGTCCGCTCCCAGTTCTTTCAGGTTACTCTGCTTAGCAACCGTTGCCAGGGAACGCTTGGTAGTCTCGCTCCCAGGCGCCAGGGTGCCGCTGTTCTGTTCGTTGAAGGTGAGTGTGATGTTGTCCCTAACGCTGGCGTAACTCGCCGCCCGAGAAGGCGGGTAGATAGGCTGGCTCTGGTTCACTACCTGATGGGCAGATGGATATCGCTGGGAATGTCATGGATGTAATACATTAGCACAGACAGTCATACGGAATACACGGCAATCGTATTAGTATACGGCACAATTTTACTAGTAAAATTGCACTGTATACTAGTAAAATTGCACTGTGTACTAACACGATTGCACTGTATTCCGTAAACGTGCACTGTATACTAGTACAATTGCACTGTATTCCGTAAAATTGCACTGTATTCCGTAAAATTGAACTGTATACTAGTAAAATTACACTGTATTCCGTAAAATAGTACTGTATTTCGTAAAATTGCACTGTATACTCTGGCATCCCTCAAGACTCACCCTCCACGACAGCGCCATGGTAGCGCAGACCGTGCCGCTGGTGGGACTGGGGAGATCCGGAAGTCTCTCCCACCGGTCCTCCTCCGGGAAGTACCGCTGGACTGTCCGCATGCAGCTCTAAGGAAGTAGTGTAGAATGCAACTAACATTACTACATCTTCTTGATGTGTGACCATATACAGATGTGTCGTCAGCATAGATGTCAACAAATGATCTAATTAATATGAATCTCCTAAAGTAGTTTACTAAAAGAGATACATATTAATTAGATCATTTGTTATCTATACTGATGACACATATGTATATGGTCACATATCCAGAAGATTTAATGATGATTCCCGTCGTTGACAGATGTTGTCACAAACAATACCAATGTTTTACAATGCCAAAATCAAACGAAAAAGACGAAAATGTAAAGAAATGAATTTGAAGAGTAGATTATTTGCCATTCCATACCATGTGTCATTTGTTCAACCTTCATGACCATGTAGATTTCAGAATGAAAACAACTTTTTATCATATTCGCACGCGCGCATCAGCTTTAGGGTTCCCAGAGGATGTCATCCATATAATCAAATCAACATGGGCTTACAGGCATGCAGGCTCACACACACACGAACCTTCTTGGCAAAGGTTTGACTGATTTTACCTGTGCCTGTTTGGACACGCCGCCGACCACGTACACGGCGTTGTTGACCACACAGCTGCCAGCGAAGCTCCTGGGCTGGTCCATGGACGACATCTTTGTCCACTGGTTAGCGCTGGTTTGGTACATCTCCACCACGTTTATATCCTCATGCCAGCCGGCAGGGTTCCGGCGGTGTCCTAGGGATTAACATAAGAGGGAAATTTGACATGTACTAATTTGCATATTTGTGATCTCCCGAATGCTGCGGGGTTCCTGCGGTGTCCTAAATAAAAGACAAGGCGCGGAATTATGAAATAAAGACTAAGCTTTTTAACTTCCAACACTAACTAATTGGGACCCCAAATTTCCGGTTGACTCCATCAACCTTGTTCACGGAATGGACCCGTCTTCTCTTGGAACGTGACGTCAGGGACACGTGACCATAGTAGCGGGCCATACGTGCCAGATAACTTGTGTCGCCCCCCGTCTCTGTTCAGGGTAGGTATGTGTGCTATTATGTAGACTGCCTCCTTCACTCCTCTCACTCTTCACATTCCAATAGTAGACGGGTTCATTCCGTGACCAAGGTTGATAGAGGGCTAATTCTCTTCTTGATGAATATCAAGAGAACAGTTATGGTCGTGGTAGGTTACAATGTGGAATACTTGCAACATTTGGTGTAGCAACATTATTTGGTAGTGGACTCCCAAGCATGGGAGGGGGAAGGCCGGCAGACCGGCTGCAACCTACATAGACTGCCTAAGGAGAGACACTGGCCTGGAGGTGGACTACGTGGAAGATAGGGAGTGTTGGTCAGCCATTTTGTCTCGATGCCAGGGACACCAGGACTCGACATAAGTCAAGTCAAGTAAGTAAGTAAGTCAAGTAAGTCAACATTATTTGGTACCTCCGATGGCGTACATGTTGTCGTCGAACGTCACCAGACAGTGCCATGCGCGTGCGCTGAACATGGGCCTCCTGACGTCCCATTGGTCAGACGTGCGGCTGTAGGACAGCATGGACTTGTCATAGTCCTGACCTGTGGAAAACAGTAATGTAGGATGGAAAGTCACAAATTCAATCACACTGGTAGAACAAGGAGCTTCTATCAAACATACATACTGGCTTCGAGTTTTCACATCATTTTTTTTCAAGCGTAGTAGTAGATTCTGAAGTGTTCTCCAGCCAGCAGTTGTCTGTTCCCTATTATTGCATTGTACCGTATATATAGTATCTTTGACTCTGTAAAAGCAATTGCCGTCGCGTATGATTTTGCAAATAAAAACTTATATTTTCAGAGGAATACAGGGAGAAGCAGAGACTATTGCCCTTGATAGAGCTGGCTGGAAGTACCTGACAGAGGGGAGCAAGGGGCCAGTACCTGGCCTGTGCATATAGGCAGGTAGGCAGGACTTATATTTCAGACGTCCCTACCGGTGTATCCTCCGGACACGAAGACCTTGTCACACGACACGGAGCCGGCGTGTCCACAAACCGGGTTCTTCAGGGAGGCGACGTAGGTCCAGGTGTCCCTCTCCATGTCGTACTTCTCCACAGACTTCAGCAGCCCGCTGGTGTTCCTCCCGGCTATGGCCAGCAGGGTGTCTCCTACAGCACTGAAGGGAAGACATGGGGTAATGATGTATCCTTTACAAGGCTCCATAGGATTGCTTTATAGGACATGTAGCCCCAAGGAGTCCTGGAGAGGCTATGGCCAGCAGGGTGTCTCCTACAGCACTGTAAGGGGAACATGAGCTATTAGCCTCTACAAGGCTCCATAGTGTTGTTTTGTAGGGCACGTAGCCCCAAGGAGTCCCCAAGCGTAAGGATCAAATTTTAAACGACTACTGTCGCCTTCAACAGGATGATTAAGGAGACCATATCTATTATGGCACTCACTTAGCCCTATCTAGGCCGGGAGGGAAGGGGGGCTTAAAGTGCCCGCGCCAACTTTGATGTCGGATAGCGTCCGAACGGATTACGCTAGAACCATCAAACTAGGTGACTTTCTCTAAAATGTTGTTGGCAACAACTTTGTATCAGTGGAATAAGATAATAATTTTGGTAACAATAGAATTTTATGGGTTTTCTCTAATCATTATGTTAGAATAAAGTTCAACATTTATGATGAAGAGAGATGGAATTCTAACCATAGACAGAACTCAGTCCTCTGTTCCTGCATGGGCGCGATGAAGAGCCACTCACGAAAACCCTTGTTACAGTTGTAGCTTTCTAATAATCTTGTATAAGGAAGAGAAATTTTAATTAAAAACTACTAACCATAGACAAAACTCCGTCCTCTGTTCCTGCATGGGCGCGATGAAGAGCCACTCGTTCCCCCGCGGATCGTACCGCCAGCCCGAGCTCTCGGCAGCCCGCCCCGCCGCGTGCACCTCGTTCTGCCCGCCCATAATGTTTACCTTCACATGGTCTAGCCTTACAAAGTGCTGCTCTGTTTATTCTTACTCAAACACATTCATGTTCATATTTATGGTGACCATTCCCTCCAACTATGTCCTGCTACATAATGTAATCCAACACCACATGGTATTTGTAGCAGCATGCACCAGTCACCATGGTGACAGACATCTGGTCCAGGTCATTGACCTCATTTGTTTGGAGAAGAAGAAGAGGAAGAAACTGAGCTATTTTTTTTTTTTTGCGAAAGTAGACATAAACACTAACCATAGACAGAACGCTGTCCTCTGTTCCTGTGCTCTGTGCGTTCATTCCTGCATGGCATCAATTATTTGATAGTGTCCTGCTTTGACATTCTCTTACATATCTTGTCTAAAGAAATGAAATACTAAAAACTACAAACCATAGACAGAACTCCGTCCTCTGCTCCTGCATGGGCGCGATGAAGAGCCACTCGTTCCCCCGCGGGTCGTACCGCCAACCCGAGCTCTCGGCAGCCCGCCCCGCCGCGTGAACCTCGTTCTGCCCGCCAACCAGGTACACGAAGTTGTTCAGCACGGCTGCAGTCAACTGGTATCTAGAGAGAGTATGTAGTAGAGGGGATTTTATCGCTGTGGGAATGGGGCTTAAACCTCTCTCTAGATACCAGTATATAGTGGAGGGGATTAATTCCTCAAGCAAACCGACATCTCGCACACGCAGTCGTCTCTCCGTAAGACATCTGGAGCTGCATAGTTCCCGTTTAGAACTTTTATTCAGCCTGTCATATGCGGCTCCAGGTGTCTTACTGAGGGACAGCGCCATTCCCACTACAATAAAATTGATCTCGTCTCTAACATCCGTGTCCATAACATCACCAGGGTCCATGATATCGCCACCTTGAGAAATAGTGTGCTTTAAGATATTTTTACTGCAACATACCCTAGGTATGTACATTTGATGTGTGAAGGAGTGCATACCAAAAGTATGTTGCAGTAAAAATATCTTTAAGCACACTGTTTCTCAAGGTGGCGATATTATAAACCGTGGTGATATTATGGACACAGATGTTATATATTAGAGGGGATTCATTCCTCAAGCTAACCTCAGTAAGACATCTGGAGCCGCATAGTTCCTGTTTAGAACTTTTATTCAGCCTGTCATATGGGGCTCCAGGTGTCTTAGTGAGGGATGACTGCGTGTGCAAGATGTCGGTTAGCTTGAGGAATGAATTCTCTCTACTATATACTGGTATCTAGAGAAAGGTTTAAGCGCCATTCCCACTACGATAAAATTGATCTCGTCTCTAGAGTTTTATTTAAAGAATATAAATATGATACTCGAAGGATGCACCTGGCTTTGGGAGCTCTTTGGAATTGTTTCCACTCAGGACGAGGCCTGACACCGTCAGAAAAAGCGGGCTCTGGAGTCAGATCTAAATACAGACACTGTAACAGAAAAATCACACTTTAACTTAAACAAAACACTGTAGCTGAAGAGTAAACACACTCCATATACCTTGACAATGACAGACTTATACTGAAATGTTTTTACCAGTACCTAGCTAGTAGGTGTCGTGCTTATCTATTGCGATATTCTAAGACTGGCAACACAGTTCAGGATGAATATTGGAAATTTTCCACAAGGGCTTTTTATCTTCCCCCCGCATATCTTCTTTTTTATGATATGTTTATTTTATTACTTTGATTATATGCTGATAAATAAACAAACAAAACAAACAAGTGCCAAGCTAGCTGTGGATCTGGATGAAGTCAAATTAAAGCCAACTTGCTGGATATAACCTTCATTAATTTTTCTTTTACCTGATTGGTTGGTTCCTTCTGTGCCCCGCCCACAGTGATGACGCAATACGTGGATGACCTGACCTTGGTGGTGTTGTTCTGCCGCAAAGGCTGCAGGGAAGGGAACAGGTGGTACTCGTACGCTTCCTGTAGAGTCCGACTGCATTGTGGGTCCGTCCGCATAAACTCCACCTGGGCAGCAAAAATCAAGGAAAAAAAAAAGAATGTAGACTCAAAGAGGTTTAACCGTCTTCCTGCTGCTTAACACATTGAAAATCTACATCAGACCCTAAGATTTTTTTCAGTCTCCAACAAAAATGTTCCTGCAGTTTACAACAAAGCCGCAAGGATGCGCTAATCTCAGTTCTTTCAGAAAATTCTATTTATCACCATAATTGTGACCAGAAAATATCTAGAATGTGATATTTGTCTTCTCGAGTTTTCTGGAAATCATTCAGAAAATCCAATCGTGAAGATTTCCATATCGAGTATAATGCCCGCCCCCCCCCCCGTGATCTTTATTTGTGCTTTTGCATCTGTGTGGCCCAAAGGTTAATAAATAGAAACACAGATAGGCACTACCAGACAGCTTTTTGCTTGCAACTCTATTTGTCTATTTGTAATTGCCTAGTACTTGTAACAATTTGAACGTTAAAAGTATTGAACACGAGTTTATTATGAAGTCCTACCTGCTGCACATGGTTCTTGAGTTCCAATGACGACATCAGCCCAAACCGGATGTCAGCCATCAGGTCGTGCGCATGCGCGCTCCGGGAGGTGTCGTACTTGAGCCAACGCCATGCGGCGTTAAACAGCTTCAACTCTGTAAAAAAAAAGAGTCGAGACAATAAAAAAAAGATAGATTTTTAATCATTAAGTCCAATCTTTAGCAATCTTTTAATGGACCTGAACTCCTACCAGATGACCTCTTTTCTACCATATATGGCGTCTTTCCGATCCTTCTTTCATCTATCCAGTCACTTTATCCTTCCTTCTTTCATTCGTTTTTTGCTTTCCTTTTCCCTTCAATACGTCTCTTATTTCTTCTATTCATGCATTTTCTGTTCCCTTCTTGACACTCCTTTTTTTCTTTTTTTTCTATCTTTCTTGATTGCTTTTTTCTTTGTTTCGTTTTTGTTTCATTCTTTGTTTATTTCTTCATTCCGTCTTCCCTTCTTTCCCTCTTTTCCTTAGTTCACTCACTCACTCATTCACTCTCTCTCTCTCCCTCACTCTTTCCCTCCTGTGACCGTACCAGCGCTTGACCTGACGTCGTCACTCCGCATGTAAGCTGATATCTGCTGGAAGGTGAGTTGCTGCAGCAGGTCAGATTCTGACATCTGGTCAAAGTTCCTCAGAATGAAGCCGTCCACCTTCTCCACGATGTCGTGTAGACCGCACCGACCCGCGACCTCCAGTACCTGTTAAATATGGGCAAGAAATCTCAACATTAACTAGAAAGATACGCCAAAAAGCAGTTACTCAAGCAACTGGATATGATTTTGGAAACAGTCAGACATTTCAGCTAGTATCCACTAGCTTTCGTCAGTGACTGAGAGACCAGAGGAGAAATGCAGGTTTATAAGCACAACCTATTGATTGATATGCAAATCAAGTGTAGACAATTTTCTTTGGAAGTCGAAAAGGGAACGATTATATTTGCAAAGCCAGTGAATAATGTTTACCATCTCTTGTGGTCTGCTGAATCTGCTCTGTTTATTCTTACTCAATATATGGTGACAGGAGTCTAAATCCCGCCTGCTATAAAATTGCAACATGATTTAACCCAACACTAGTTACCATGGTGACAGACGTCTGGTTCAGGTCATTGGCCTTATTTGTTTGGAAAAGAAGAAGGAATTAAATTGGAAGTCTAGAATTAAACTGGAAGTCTAGAATTAAACTGAAAGCTGTTGTATACTAGTGATCCTTAATTGTCTTTTACAAATATCCGCGTCTATTCCCATTGTCAGCCTTTGTTTGCAAAACAATACTAATGCACTGCTGCTAATAATAAAGTTAAAAAACAAAATTAAAGTCTATATAAGGCCGGTAATGTCATCTAAGATTGCATCCAAACCTTGAGACAGTTGTCCATGTTGATCTCTTGAGACAGGAACTCCTTACAGAAGAAGACGACTCCAGGCATCGCCAGCTTCTTGGCTGACTTGAAGATGTCCTCCACGTGTTTTAGGTTGATAGAGATCTCAGAAGTGTAAGCAAAATCCAACAGGAAATCTGGGAGAAATACAAATACGATGACGTCCAGAATCATAGTCTCTCTTTCCTTCCTTTTAGCGATATTGGGGTACACAGTGCATTTTTAATTACTTCTGTTGGCTAAAATATGAACTATAATCGTTAGATATCCAAAACTGAAGCAATAGATACCAGTGTGGTACCAAGGAGAGTAGCTAGGGCACCAATAATCACCTTTGACCTCAATATTATATTGAGACCTTTAATACACACGTACTAATTAAAGTATCATTACAACTATCCATAGCTTCTTGAGTTATGTTGGGGCACCATATTCAGGCACGGTTCTGGGTAGTCCACGCGTATACACAACCTTGCCTAGTGCAAATCTACATTCTTGGATAAGCGGTTCTGGATACGATAGAGTTAAGGATATTGATCCATACTTAAAGCAGTAGGAGATACGTCCCTGATGCGGATGGTGCGGAGTTGTTTCTCCTTCTCGTCCTCCTCCGTCGTCTGGAGTTCCATCTCCTCCTTAAACCTCGGGCTGACGGCGGCCAACACGGCCTGGATAGGATGAAATGAAATAGAACTAGAAAGGTAACATTTGAAATGTTTACCTTCGCACATGGTACTCTGTTAACTCACGCACATCGCACTCTGTTAACTCTTGCTCAAACAAATTCATATATATGGTGAGACAGGAGTCTAAATCCCTCCTGCTATAAAATTGCAACATGATGTAACCCAACACCAGTTACCATGCTGACAGACGTCTGGTTCAGGTCATTGACCTTATTTGTTTGGAGAAGAAGAGGAAGAAAAAGGAGCAAAGGAAGGAAGCTTTAAAGCATGAAAGGAAGAAAGGAAGGAGGAAATGGGGAATAAAGGAACAATAATCGAACTTGTCTTTCTTTTCTCCAACACTTACCCGCCTACTAAATACCATACGGATCCATTCACAACTTTTCGAGTTATGCTGTACGTCTTTCAATGGTCCCACAAACATGAACTTTGCCTTGTTGGACAAGGTAAGGAAGGAAGGAAGCTTGGAAGGAAGGAAGGAATGAAGGAAGGAAGGAGGGAAGGAAGGAAGGAAGGAAGGAAGGAAGAAGGAAGGAAGGAAAGAAGGAAGGAGGGAGGGAAGGAAAGAAGGAAGGAAGGAGGGAAGGAATAAAAAAGAGAGACCTACCTGATGCACCCTGAAGCCCCCCTCGTCAGTAGCGACGTAAGTGTCACAGAAGTCATTCCCCCTCCTGAGTCTGTTGAGGTGGAACAGCAGACTGTCCCCGTGCTCACTGGACTTGTAGTCACGCGACTTCACCATGGGGTTCGCGCCCTCGTCCTGACAGCAGTGGGGGTGGATCAGCCGCCTCGTGGGGGAGTCTGGGGGAAGGGACGGTACGTTGTACATAACGTACGGAGAGTCACAGAGTCGTGGAACTAAGCACGGCAGATACCATTATATTACATCTTAGCGTCTTTACCTCGCAGAATAGCCTGGGTACCATCCTGGTTAGTTTACGTCCGCTCCCACAGTCGCTTCCACCTGATAGTCGCTGGAGACTGTTGGAGCGAACGTTAACTAACCCGGATGGTACCCAGGCTAACAAAAATGCATTGTGTCAGAAAAAGGCGTGACATTAAGAAAGAAAAAAAAACTCACAAAAACATACTGCTAGATGCGTTGTGAGAACTCATACTACCGGTTTTGCGAGCATTAGGTTTAAGCTATATATATATACTCACTTGGTGGCGTTTCGGATTTCTTGGAGTTCGCAGCCCGAGCTCTTTCGTCCTTCAAAGCCTTCATTTTATCTATTACCTGAAAAACAAAACGATTTGTTCATCAGATTTTTAACGACTTACAACTCTGATAAAGATTTGCATACAGCAATCCAAAGGCTAACTGGTTCTCCTTACCTTTAAAGCAGTTTTCCGTTCGTTCAGTTCTCTCTCCAGGTCCGAGGTGTCCACCATCTGGTCCCGGACCTGTGGGTGGTGGTCGGGCGGGTGGTGACACACCTTACACGGCTCTGGGAACAAGAATAAGCCATGTTTAAAAAAATCGTCTGATTCTGAGGGGAAAGTTTTTCTCTGTATGAACGAGATGTAGAAGTTACAAAGCCAATTTTCCCTCCTATATATGGTACTATTAACCATTTTATAAAGCAATAAATGTATCTCATCCTCATTTTTAGAGGAAAACAAGCACAGTTTCCCTTTTGATGAGAAATACTTTCATCGCTATAAAATGACGGAAGCACAGTAATTAAGTATTTAGTTTTTTCGTACCGTGCGCTATTGTCTTCATTGATACTATAGATACTATCAACATATGTTCTACTAGTTTTAAATAGTGTCAAGAGTCGGTCATAAGGCCTTGTCTTTAATATACATTTATAATTATTACTAATATACATTTATTACCACAATGAGGCAGTTATGAGATTAAAATCATATTTCAGTATCTTTCATTATTACCATTAAACACTTTGCAATCAATCGTCTTCAAAACTGTCCATACAATATGAAGTCCATTGTCACTCCGACATTATCGTGAAAACTGTTATGGATGTGGCTTTGAAAAATTAACAAGATCGTGACTTTTACATTTGCCGTTGTGAATTTGGCGTTTAATTATTAATTGCGCACCTCTATTGCGTTGAGCACATTGTCACTGAATGAAATGCCGGATGGGGATAAGGTATCTTCAATGTACAGCCGAAGGGTTGGTATTCCTACTATATTGCATTGAGTAAAATTCATCGATATCTGTGGTAAGACGGTATATATAGTATCTGTACTCTAAAGTTTCCGGAGTGATATACTCTCCAAGCAGAGGTTTGGGCTTTGGCTTATTTTTGCATGGCGTGTGTTTAGGCTTTTTATTGACTTCCTTACACCAATGTGAAAAAAGATACCAGTACAAAAATGATTAAGAAAGCCCGAAGAAAAGCCTAAAATACGCCAAAAATTAGCCAAAGTACAAACCCCTGCTTGGAGAGTATATTATTCCGGAAACACTAGAGTACAAATACTGTCTTACCACAGATATAGATGAATTTTACTCAATGCAATGTAATGCATACGTCAGAAACCAGTGATCAACAGGCCACATATATCTGCAAACAAAAATCCTGGCCCCGAAAATCTATCCTTAAACCAAGGGGTGCCCCACGCACACCCGGCCCTTTACATATTATGTACAATCGTGAGTTAACGACTTCCTCTCACCTGGTAATGGTTGTACCTTGTTCCCCATCTTGTAACAGCTTCTCTCCGGTCTAGTTGTCTTCTGTCAGCCTGTGGTAGCCAAGAGAACACTTGTAACTACTTTGAACGCGGGTAAAACCTATATCTGCCTCCTTCTCCAAGTCCACAAAACATCATCAATTGTAAAACAAAAAAGAGATTGTTTCTAAGCACTACATGTTGTACATCAGATCGTTCTCTACACACAAACAAAAATCGCTGAAATCATCTCACACAAGAACACTCAGGTTTTGATCTATCAGACGTTTCAAGTACTATCTCATACTTTTGATTCATAACACAGATTGAATCATAACATGCTTGCTTTGATGGTACAACACGAACGAGATATGACCCAAAACAGTAACGTATTATTATTACACTTAGCAATAAAAACATTAGAACTTACCTGTGGTGATGGTAACTGCCTGTTTCGGTGTGCAGATTTTCAAAGTCTCTTAAAACATTAACGAGAGGACCTCAGGGAGTCGTTTAGCCATAAAGGGAACAATAACGAGGCCATTACGGCAGTTGTTTGGATCATAAGTTAGAGGAGAGACTGTCTTTTGTCAGTCACGCGATCTTTGCACTTGACAATGTGTTCTCTTCAAAGCGCCCTCTGGCGACTTTGACTTTTATAGCATAGATCTATGCCAACAAGATGGCGGCGCCCAGGTACACGTTTACCGTGTTGCTATTGTTGATTTCCTTGTTTTCGCCTGTTTTCATCGCCCAGAGACCTCCTCCTGGCGCGATCGTACCCACCACAGACGACCTGAGAAGACTGGTCGCCACGGAAGAGCTTGTCTTGGTGAATTTCTGTAAGTTACAGCCGAAATAAGACCATTTCCGGGTAGTGTTTTTCGCTCGGCTTTGAGTGCTAGGGACACGTCAGCGTTAGTATGAACAGCTGTTGCAGTTGTATACAGAGAAATCCGGCTGTGTGTGAAAGTAGAACGCTTCTTGGTGCCATGTTAGCTCGGGTTCGTTCAGTTTAAATTTTAATGATTGACAGGATTGACATATCTTTGCTATACCTGTATGTAGCGTGTGCATGTATCTATAGTGCAATAGCAGGTATATTGTGTGTATATGTTGATTCAGTACGTATACACATTAGTATGTATGACGTTGCCAAGCTTAAGTACCATACAAGAGCACTGCCCTTTCTAGTCCCCTACAATGTACCCAGTAAGTAGGTTTGGTGGAAAAAGCAGTCCAGTCCGGGAGGCAGAAAAAGCAGTCCAGTCTAAGAATCTGCATGGGGGTTCCTGTCAAAGCTTTAGTGCAAAATACTACATACTTTTGTTGTGTCAATTAATTTATTCTTGTCTGTCTGTCAAGTCCATCTTTCATAGACCTTACTGTACTTTTGTATGTCAATAAAGTGCTTCTTTAAATTATATGGGATTCAAATTTGCTGAAGAACAGTTTTTGTGTCCCTTCTCAGATGAGCCGAGCTGTGCAGAGTGTGAGGCATTCTACCCTGCCTACACAGACCTGGCACAGGAGCTGGAACAGACTGACGTGGTCTGTGTGTCACACAACGGACCGCTTCCCGAGTACGGAGTCAACAGTTACCCCAGGGTACTGTTCTTCAGGAAGGGCAGCCCTGTGTTATTTGATGGTAGGAACATACTGGTTATTATAGACACCAGCAATTTTCTTGTATACTTGTAAAGCAACTTAAGTTTGCTGCTGGTATGTACACACACAGTGACACACATACACACTCACTCACTCACACATGTTAAGTTTGATGCTGGTACATGGTATATACATACAATTGTACACACACTCACACACACACACACACACAACACACTCACACATGCACACATGCACACACACACACACACACTCACACATGCACACATGCACACACACACACACTCACACACACACATGAACAAACACAAAACCATATGATTGTCATATGACAGGTGTAACAGGTGTGCCATGTTACCTGTTTGCAGGTGCACTGATGCAGGAGGACCTATCAGAATGGGTGGAGCTGAACAGACAGTCCAACCTGCAGCACCTGTTTGAGGACAACTTTGAACACCTGACTCAGGCTTCTACTGGGGCCACAACAGGGGACTGGCTCGTTATGTTGTGAGTTTATTCTCTTAACCCTCGCAGAAGGAAAACATATTGTTTGGGCCTCATTTCTTCTTCTTTTGTATTAAGGAAAATGATTATCATATTGATGTATGCTTTGTCCTCAGCTCATCTGAATCGTGTGGTGACTGCAGAATGGCTGTACCAGTTCTGGATGCTGTAGCAACTAAGTATGTTTTACTTCTGAAGAAATTTCTCTTTGCTTAAAAGTTAGAATCTTGAAGTTTCCTTCTTCATTGAATACAAACAGATTTGGGAAAAATTGTCCGCATGAAAATTTTTCGTAATTAGAAACAACTAAAAGATTTCGTTCGGCCCACAAACCACGTGACCGCTCCCCCCGTGACCTTCGAACTTCCTCAGTTTGTTCTGTTTTTGGGGAGACGGTTCATGTTTTCGGTCCGCTCCGCTTGAATTTCGAGTCATCGGTATGGAGAAGGAACCTCGGCGCCATCGTCAATCTAGGAGGTGTTCGGTATGTCGTCTGCCTGTGAAGGGACATCCGGGCCCGTGCGGTCCAGGGAAATGCCAGTACGAAAGAGGGAAGGGAGCGTCAGACTCGGACGCGTACTTTTCCCGCCTGAAGGACACGGTTCGACATCTGAGGAAGGAGAGCAAGGTGGACGAGATTGCGCGCCGGGTATGGTCCGAGAGCACATCGGATGAGTCAGAAGACGTCCTGACGCCCCGGCCCCGTTCTTTGCCGGTCAAGACAGCAGACCTGTCTCCGAGACGGGTGGACGGGAACCAGGCTCGACACGCGAGGGCTTACAGTGAGCCACCAGAAGTTCCACGCCTGAAGTCTGCGTTCACGAGCGGTCAGGAGTCGCCGGCGACATCAAAGACATCAAAGAAAGAATCGGACTCGGAGCAGTATACTGTGAGGGATCTACGGGCGTCGAAGAAGTTGGTGAGAGAAGTAGACCAAGTGCTGGAGGGTTTACTGGAGCCAACGTCTCGTGCAAGGGGCAAGATTGCTGAGAAACGAGGAAACCACCGCTCTAGCTCCACATCGTCATGTGGCAGTAACAGTAGCGCTAGCAGTGAAGAAGATCGGCCGCACAGAGCACGCTCGACTCGTTCGCGGCGTTCTAGGCAACGTAGACGGCACAGGAAGCGGAGCAACAGCAGAGACAAGCGGCATAGAAAGCGGAGCAACAGCAGAGGCAAGCGGCACAGAAAGCGGAGCGACAGCAGAGAAAAGCGGCACAGAAAGCGGAGCGACAGCAGAGAAAAGCGGCACAGAAAACGGAGCGCGCGCGACAGCAGAGAAAAGCGGCACAGAAAGCGGAGCGACAACAGAGAAACGCGACACAGAAAACGGAGCGACAACAGAGGAAGGTCGAGAGCTGCTTCATCGCGTAAACGGGGAGAAAGGAGTCGCAAGAATCGGTCCAGTTCGGACAGTTCGTCGTCCCAGTCGCGTTCAAGAGACAGGCGTCAAAAGAAAGGTAAGACAGGACGCACTCGTACCATAAATGATGCTAGCTCCGCTCGTGTTAAGATAGAATGGCCACAAGAAAGGGCTCATTTCCCTGGCTACGGAAAAATGGTGGCGTGACTTATGATGAACTAACATTACCGATGTTTGTACATGGTTATGTAAAGAATGTGATCGAGTCTCATTGTCACAAAGTTCCCCGTGTGGTCGAGGACAAGTTATGTCATCTGTCAGACTTGATGTTTGATGCGGTTTACCATGATTGGGTCACGGTTAGAGAGCTACATGCAGCGGTTTTGTACGGGTTGGAGCACGAGACGGTGACTTGGTCTGATGCCGACATGTTGGACACAATCAGGGACAGACATTATCGTACACAGGGTGGCGTTGCAACCGGGAGTGCTCAGGGGGCGGAGCCACGGACGGGTAAGCCACCCTCACGTGATACAGTAGGCACTTCTAGACCGCGTTATTGTGGCGGTTTTCAGTCAGGATCATGTTCCCTGCCATCCGGGCACTGGAGTGCGAGATGGAATAGTAACGTGCTACATGTCTGCAGCGCTTGCCTGGTGTACCGCCACACCCAGGAGCCACACTCCCCGAGACCGCTGCCCCTACAACGAAGCGTCCTTTCGTGCCGCTCAGGCAAGAGCTGGTGGAAGAGCCTCCGTCACCTCCCTCCGTACAGGGCGGTGCGAGCAGCGCACCAGACAAGGCGATCGAGTTACACAGGGTGGTGTCGGCGTGTGAAGGACATAACTTTGTTGGCGCACGTGTTCCAGTGGAGTCGGCTTTGAAGATCGATACATGGAGAGAACTACTAGTGGACTATGAAGACAGACGTATTGTTGATTTCTTAGCATTCGGGTGGCCGATTAATGTGGAGCCGGAATTGTATCAACGCCCGGTCGACGTATCCTTTCAGAATCATTACTCAGCTAGACATTATGCGGGACATGTAGATGCGTTTATTTCCAAAGAACTTAGTTTGGGTGCCATAGCCGGACCATTTGATTCGAATCCTTTTCCGTTCCCGGCGGTGCCGATTCCGTTACAGACAGTAGAGAAGAGAGACAGTATAGAGAGAAGAGTTGTAGTAGACTGCAGTTTTCCGGCAGGTTTCTCTATTAATGATGCTGTTCCCAAGGATTATTATTTAGGACAGGAGTTTAAGTTGACCTACCCCTCCGTGGATACATTGTCGCATATGATATTAGACAAGGGGCGTGGCTGTTTATTATACAAGACGGACTTGAAACGAGCGTATAGACAAATTCCGGTTGATCCCAAAGACTACAAGTATTTGTGTTACTGTTGGAGGAACAAGTGGTATGTTGATACAAGGTGCCCTTTTGGCCTTCGTTCTAGTGCTTTTATTTGTCAGTCAACCACCTCTGCAGTCACGTTCATACAACAAAAGAAAGGTTATTCAATTTGCAATTATCTAGATGATTTTGGGGGAGCAGAGTACCCTCAAGTCGCGATGGAGGCCTTCAACAGTTTGCAGGGAACATTACACAGCCTGGGGTTGGAAGAGTCGGTTGAAAAAGCGGTGGAGCCTACGACCTGCATGACATTTCTAGGGACTGAGTTTGATACCGTAGCGATGGTGAAGCGAGTCCCACAGTTTCGGTTGGAGGAAGTGAGACTGTTACTTGACGCGTGGATTGACAAGAAGAAAGCTTTGAAACGCGAGCTTCAGTCACTGATTGGGAAACTGGTATTCGTGTCTGCGTGCGTGGCACCTGGACGTCTTTTCCTTTCGCGCATGTTGGAAGTACTACGAAGTGTCCGCAGGAGTCATCATAGAATTCGGTTGTCTCGTGACTTTAAGCTGGATGTGCGTTGGTGGCGACGTTTTATGACCTTGTTCAATGGAGTCTCACTATTGACTCCGGACATCTATTGTGCACCGGATGAAGTTGTGGCCACGGACGCGTGTCTGACAGGGTGCGGGGGAATCTGTAATGGTGAGTTCTTTCACTCCAGGTTCCCGACTGCTGTTCTCGAACAATATGGAGCTAAAATACATGTCTTGGAGATGCTGACGATTGTGGTAGCAGCCAGGAAGTGGGGACCAGGCTGGAGAGGGTCCAGAATCGTGATCAACTGTGACAATATGGCGTGTGTTTATGTGTTGAATTCGGGACGTTCAAGAGACAAGGATTTGCTTCATAGTGCGAGAGAACTTTGGCTGATCGCGGCATCGTGTGATTTCGTCTTACGGGCAGAGCATATTCAAGGACGGGAGAACCGAGTCGCCGACCACTTGTCGCGATGGCATCTCTCATCGAAACATGCTGAACAGTTTCACATCTTGACAGAGGATATGGACACGATAGAAATACCGGTATTTCAGGAAGATTTCGTCCTGGATTGCCCTTACTGACAGTTTGCTTTCGTGTTTTATGTTGCAGCTGAGACAGACCTGAGCTACTTGCGAGAACAGGCACGTCGGACAAAATTTGCTGCCTTCGCGGAAGGAACTTATTCAAATCTTAGAACACAGTTGAGGACTTATCTTTTGTTTTGTACATTTTATGATATAACTGCCTTTCCAGCCACCTTGGACACACTAGAGACGTTTTCTCAGTTTTTAAGTCGTTCTTTCAGAGCACCGGGGTCAATTGCAAATTATATTAGCGGTCTTAAGACCTTGCACACATTGTTCGGCTGGGACACTGCCGCGTTTGATTCACCGGACTTGGGACTACTGAAACGGGGATTCAGCAAGCGAATGCAGCATACACCTCATCAGAAATTGCCGTTCACTCCATCAGTATTGCACAGGATTTATGAACAATTGGACATTTCAGTTCCTTTTGAAGCAACGATTTGGACTATTGTATTGTTAAGTTTCTTTACTTTCCAGCGGAAGTCGAACTTCTTAGCTAAGAGTACATTTGATCCTACTAAGCAGTTCATGCTGAGAGATTTTGTGGTACACAGAGGAGTATTGTTAGTCAGAATAAGGTGGTCAAAAACACTGCAATGTGCTGAACGTGTCTTGTATGTACCAGTGCTTGAGATACCGAACTCGCCGTTATGTCCTGTGACTGCATTTCGCAATATGGTTAGTCTCAATACGAATAGGAACACAGAGGCTGCGTTTGTAAAGCCCTACAAATCTACCTTTGTACCGTTAACTCAGAATGTGTTTGACAGAGAGTTTAAGAGAATTCTAGTTAGAGCTGGTTTGGATCCCAGATGTTATTCATTGCATAGTGGCCGTCGCGGAGGTGCGTCATTTGCCTTCCACGCAGGTGTACCAGTTGATCTTATTCGTATTCAAGGTGACTGGAAGTCAGATGCTTATTTACTATACCTGAAGGTTCCGTTGGAAAAACGTTTAGAACTCTGTGCTAGGATGGTGCATCAGATCCGCACAACTTACTAGTAGCTATATTGTGTTTAATGTTGATTGCAATGTTGTTTTAAGTTGGTTGTGGTATGGGGGAGGTTATTTTGTTTGTTTCTTTCGTTGTGGGTCATTTTCTTTTCTTTTGCAGTTTGGCCTTCTTATTTTGGCGTTTTGTTTTGGAAAGCAATTAAACTTTCCCATTTCAGGCCACTCCTGCTTGTTCTATCTTGATTGTTAGATAATTTGGGAAAAATTGTCCGCATGAAAATTTTTCGTAATTAGAAACAACTAAAAGATTTCGTTCGGCCCACAAACCACGTGACCGCTCCCCCCGTGACCTTCGAACTTCCTCAGTTTGTTCTGTTTTTTGGGGAGACGGTTCATGTTTTCGGTCCGCTCCGCTTGAATTTCGACCCACCACCTCCCCATCACCACCTTAGCTATAGTGATAGTATATATACTGGTACGAGGTTAACTGTGGATAAGTTTGATATATGGTTACTAGTACTTGAATGTTCCTTGAACTTACTGAATGGCGTTTTGTTTTGGAAAGCAATTAAACTTTCCCATTTCAGGCCACTCCTGCGTGTTTCCTTCTTCATTGAATACAAACAGATTACTGTAAAAGTTTGTTAACATTGAAAAATTAGGTATGATAGGGAACTTTTGTTAGCCTGAGTGTCAGCCTTTTTAGCTTTCGTCCGCTCCCCTTGATCTGCTACCTGACCCGGTATGAAAACTAAAAAGGCTGACACTCAGGCTAAACTTTTGTCTGAACTTATAAGGTTTTTTTTCATTCCTCGTGATCTGACAGAGTGAAGGGGAGACAGAATGTTGCAGTTGTTGATGTGGAGAAAAATCCTCAACTCAAGGACAGATTCAAGGTCGCTCAAGTGCCAACAATAATCTTGTAAGTATAACAGTACACTATCTTGGGAGACACTATCTTGCCTGGACAAATCCTCTTTCTTTCTCCAACTCCAAGACTTGTGCAACTTTTGCTTTAAAAGACCAGTAACTTAAATCATTCCTTTTTCCCATTTTTTCAAGCTGGAAAGTGATCTTTTTCTGTTGTTACAGCTTCCGTCTAGGAAAGATGTACACCTACAGCCTACCCAAACTGGACATTCCCACAATGAAGTCCTTTATGGAGGGCTGGTACAAAAATGTGAGAGCTGAGGCAGTACCTGGTATACCTACACCATTGTGAGTGCCTAATTTCTGTGTTCAAAAAAGATATTGGAATTCATTTGCAGTATTAGCTTACAGCAAGCTGTTTGAAACAATGGAGAAAGCGACATACACTGGTATAGTGTGCTAAAGACAGTACATGGACAGTAGGCTACTGGACATCTTGGTGTCCAAATTCCAGTGTGTGCACACAACAAGAAAATATCTTGCCTTAGTCTGAAAAATCTAAGGGGACATCTCTAGTAGCAATACAGCCAGATACCTCTCATATATAGTGATTGTTAGGGGTCAGTTTAGGGCACCAGGTCTGGTTCAATGTGATATTAAATATCTTATTTTACAATTATAGTTCCCATATTCAAAATGGTTTTATTCTTCTTTTGACAGTGACCAACTTGTAGAAAACATTGCTGATAACCTAAAGGTAAATGGTTTGTTTCATCCATTTCTTTAGAGAACCATTGGAGAGCCATTTGATTGTTCCACTGTGACAATATAATTATAATTTGTTAGAGTCATTGTTTACTAGTGAAACTTACCCAGGCTACTACATGTATATGTCACACTGTATTTTGTGATACAAGGCTTCATAGTTACTTCAACTTGTTACAAACTCCAATCATTTGAACCTGTAAAAAATATTGAATCAGGTGTTGTTGTTAACCATATTTTTTTCATGTTTTGTGTTTAGGTGTTTGTGGAAAAAGTGAAGACAGAAGGTTTGGTGACAGCACTGACTGGTAACCTGGTCATCATGTTGTCGGTGGCAGGGTTGTTTGTTATTATACTAACAGTTGTTGTTTGCCTAACATGTACATGTAAACAAGACCAAAAACTCAAAACAGAGTAACCAAATATGTTCAAGTTTTTGTTCTGTTCAAGTTTTAGTTCAAAGCATGTAATGCTATTTATTTCTGTCTTGTTGCTTTAGTCAGCAGAAATGAATTATTTTGAGACGTAACTTGGTGGACTACAGACTTAATATGTGGCTATCAATTTCTTTTGGTGTACACTGTTGACTACTATTATAATAGAATTTGTTGATTTGAGAATGATCATATTACATGTATAAAGCCTTTTTTCTGTCTGCATTTTTTTTACTTTCAATCTAGTTCAGTAGAGAGTATTTTTGAATAACAAATTGAATACTGGACTATCATAAAGTTTAAAACACATGCATTGTTTCTTATTTTGCTTTTAATGCTTAAAACTTCACAGCAGGAACCCAAAACTGAGGACACCATTATTTTATGTACAAAATACATTCAGTGTAAGTATGATGCCTGAATCTCAATTTTTCTTCTTTTAACATAATGTACATTTATTTTACACAGGATCTCACATTATCACATAGAATGCAACCAATATAGACAAACGGGTAATATTTAGTATAGGCAAAAGTATAAAAACAGAGAAACCACCCAAACATTTTACACGATTTAAATCCTTATCATAATTAGAAATATTAGAATCTACACACAGTCAAATTGCACAAATAGTCAATATACTATCAACTTTCACATTACTTTGAAAATGATCTTACTTACATAAATACATCTTTTTTGGCTAGTAGACTTATATCATTGGAATTTGCTACCAACACTTCAAAATAAAAAAAAGTTTACATAGTGATGACACCACACCACAACACACACAATCTGCAAACTCACTTTGTCAATTTGACACACAGATTGTTAAAAGTCTAGAGTTAACACTTTCTATTCTTTGTATTCTGAATTTGTGTTAAAAAATACAGCATCATTCACCACATGTTCAAAAATACAGCATCAAAGACACATTTTGAATGTGTGTTCCCAAATACATCAACCACTACAGAAATGCATGTTATAAATCATCGAATTGACCAACTTTGCAAGGCACAGTTCTTTCTAGTCTTTCCATATCTAAGAATACAGATTTGCTCCATACATGGTTCTGAATACGTGTGGACCATGCCTGCACATGGTTCTGGATACAGCAGGTTAGGCCTACGAAAAAAATGTGTTTCCCGTTTCAGTCCTGAAAAAAATTAGGGTCGGTAGGTAGGATTTTTTTTTCTTTTTTTTATTAGACTTTGGCGATCACTAGTGATCCAACTTGTACAATACAGTTTAACAAAGTAAATTTTACATGAGGACATTTTCAATGTCAATGTTGGAAAACCGATTGTACAATGTTTCATCACTCATGTGTCAGATCTTGGAGCTAAAAAATGTCAGTTCGAAAAAATTTATGTCCCTTACAGGGCTAGGGTCGGCATTTTTATCTAGAGGCGGTCGGGAAACAGGAAACACAACATTTTTTCTTGGTCTTATTAGCAGACTACAGCCTTGCCACAGCGTGCAAGAGCGTTAACAGTCTGTGGTACATCATAGCCAGGAACTGTATGACCTGCACCAGTCCGAAGACTGCAAGTGAGAGGAAACCCATGGGGTTCTGTCCCAGGACTTGGAGGGCGGGCCGGCTGGACAGAACCATCATAATAGTGATCCACAACACGTTCACTACCTGTGGAAAGAAATGAATAAGAGGATGTGTTAGAATAGTAGTCCATTGAATAAGCAAAATAATCCTAGTAACCACTTCTATATTTATCAAGCAATTAGTTTAGCCATTAAGTCCAACCTGTACTAGTGACTACCTCTACATGAGGACTACATGTACCTAGCCATTCATATACAACCAGAGCTGTACTAGTGACCACCTCTACATAGGGACCACTTGGCCATTGATATACATGTTAATCTTGAGCTAGTGTCCACCTCTGCATATGGGCCACCTGGCCATTGATATACAGTCAAACCTATACATGTACAAGTGGCCACCTCTACATAAGGACCACCTGGCCACTGTGACCATGTTTTATATCCTTGGGTATTATCTTTTTAACCAAACATTGAAAATCCTAGACTGAAATAGAATACAGCAAAATGGATTACAATGGAGTTAGGTAGGAAAGAAGATTGAACCACATGATGCAAAACTCTCACCAGTAACACGACCAGAGCAGAGTTTCTCAGACCGACCAGCTTCGCCTTCAGATCTACGTCAGAGGTGAACATTCCGAGGTCAGGGTTCAACTTCTTGTCCCTCAGAGCCTCCCAGAACTGAGACTCTTCCTCTCTAAATAAACAGGAATATCAAAAATTTCAACCAGGGTATTTCGCAATAATGACTAGAAACTGGCATTGATGTAATCAGTGTTAGAATTGCCCATCTGCATTTTGCAGAGACAATTTCAATATTGCAGAAGATAAATTAAGCAACCTGCAATTTTACAGACTGGAATATTCATGCTAGGGGTTCAATGGTGTTTAAAAGCTTTTGTGTTTACTACCGACGCTACAATATACAATTAAAAAGTAGAACTTTATTCTATATGGCATGTAAAATGTTTGCCAACATGCAATTTTGAATATGCCATGGGTTTAGATCCGGAAGTTTAAGTGTGTATTTGCAGAAAGTACTTCGGAATTTTGACGTTATGCAATATTACAGAGCATGGAAAATATAGTATTTTTACTACTGGAAATTATTTACCTCTAGACATTCTCTCACATCTGTAGCTTGTAGCCAGTATTACAATTGTACAGTATTACAGGAGATTAATTAATATTTATTAACTTACCCGTCGTCATCTTTCTCCTCCAGGTCTCTAATTTTACAGCCTCTTCTCATGAGGATCCTCTTGACTCGATATTTGTCTTTTTGAACTGAAAGCAAGCATTTGGGGCTATTGTTAGTGTTGTTGACTCAGGATCTGAAGGTCTGGGGTTCGAATCCCTTGTAGTCTCAAATATATATTAGCAGTTTAACGGTTATGCAAACCCAAACAAATTAGTCTATGTCAATCCAACAAATGATATGGCATGCTATGATCATCCAATATGCAGTGGTTACTATCTTTCGGATAGTTCTGGTCTAAGGTTAGAAAACGATATTTGCATAGTGACTGCAGATGACAAAATACGAGTAATTTAATGGGGAGTAACAATACGTACGTTCATCCGGTTCTGTCATTGCGCCGATGGCTGCTTTGATCCTCTTGATATGTCCTAAAACAGATAAAAGCCTTTGGTATGAAAGAAGATAGGAAATATGAAAAGCTTTATGGAAATCAGATGTAGCACAACAGGACTGCAACCCCTACCAGTAGCACACTGTGGTGGGGATGGACGTGTGGCTTAAAGACAGAGTTTTCGGCTCAGAACCAATCGAGGTCCCGAGTTCGAATCCTACCATGCCACCGATCTTGTTGTTTTGGGAAAAGGTACTTTACACAAATTTCGTCACTTTACTCAGGTGAAATGAGTACGGTGTTGTCCGTTTATGAGTTTTTCTGCGTTGGTGGCGGCATGAAAATAAGTTGAAAAAACTTGAGTGCGTGTGCCGTCGTCATGTCTTGTAATAAAGGTTGGAATAGAAAAAAAAGCACACCGCCATCTAAGGTGTAAAGAATTACAAACGGGGCCTTACCTTTTTTGGTGATTTTCAGGTCCTCCATGAGTCTGTTCAGGTCGGTCTTGCGAAGACAGGCTAGGTCAGCCTTAGTGTTGACACCGTAGTCTTTAAACTGTTGTGTGTACTGGTCTAGGTGCAGCTTCTTCAGCCATTCCGTGACGTTGTTCTAAATCGGGGGAAAATAATGCTGAATGAATGAATGAATGAATGAATGAATGAATGAATGAATGAATGAATGAATGAATGAATGAATGAATGAATGAATGAATGAATGAATGAATGAATGAATGACGACCTTTATTGCACAAGTTTTGCTACTCTCCAAGCAGAGGTTGATGGGGGGGGGGGTCGGTTCGCTTTTTATATATGGCCCTCGCAAAATGAGAAAACGTGAAAAAGATCTTACAGGCACAGAGGTTTCCAGCACGAATTCTGTCAACTTGTGGATCTCAGTCAATAACCTCTGTCTGTGAAAGTCCGTGTCGATCCCGATGTTCCTCAGGTCCTGTAACAGAAGTTGAAGTAAGACGCTCATTCTTTGGCCTTTAGAATGAATTATATACCCGAGTAGAGGTCTAAACTAACCGGAAAGGTGGGGCTCGAGCCACTTGCTCTATGATCTAGAAGTGGTATTTAACACTTGGTCATGGTGACCAGTCCTTCCAACTTGCTACATAATGTAAATCAACACCTCAGGGTGTCTGCTACAGCAGCAGTTACCATGGTGGCACACTGTACTGACAGACGTCTGGTTCAGGCCATTGACCTTATTTGTTTGGGGGAGAAAAAGTAACGGCAAAATCAACATATCCTTCTGAATACAAACATATTTACCTCATTAGTCATGCCAGCGATGTAGCTAGTATCTTCGTACCCTTCCTTTAGGAACTTGTCCGCATACGTCATGAAAACCTTTAGAGAAGAAAGAATACAGTTACAAAGTATACTTGGTATTATAAAAATACCACATTCAAGGGACACGAATGTTAAATAGTGAAGTAGATCCTGTCTTGAGTCTCCTTTTTTTTTCTATTCCAACATTTATTACAAGACATGGCGGCGGCGCACTCAGTTTTTTTTTTCAACTTATTTCTATGCCACCACCAACGCAGACAAACGCATGAACGGAGAACAGACATACTCATTTTTACCTGAGTAAGATGAGAAAATTCGTGTAAAGTGCCTTTCCCAAGGGCACAAGATCGGTGGCATCGCAGGATTCGAACTCATAACCTCTTGGTTCCGAGCCGAACGCTCTGCCGTTGCGCCATACGACCCCAGAAGTGTGGCCCTACAAGTTATGAAGCTACTTACCTTCTCTCGAAGTTCTTTTCGGAGCCACCTGATGACAGGAACAGGCCGTGCCATTTCAGGAGCCATGGATATCACGGATCTCTTGTTGGACACTACTGAAACTCTGTGACCTGCGTAGGTTGCGACTGTTGTACGTCTCCTGGTTCTGGGTGTTTCTAGCTCTCCTTCGACCGTCGCTACGGAAAGAAAAGTCATGGCATTTGTGTGTATCATCATATAGCCAGGTGACGTTGGCCAATCCGAGATCCCCATTTCCTATTGGTTATGACGCCATAACCTGGTGACCCATTGGTGATTAAATCCCATAAACCCCGGAACCAATCAGTGTCGACTGTTCTGTTCGAATGACGTCAGACTGAACATGGGCACTACAAACTAAGGCATAAATGTATCATGGAAACAAATGTTACATTGTAAAAGAAACTTACTCAAAGAATCGGGTGCATCGTCTTCACTGTCTGAGTCCCATTCTTCCTCGTATTCCTGAAGAGGCACTTCCAGGACTGCTTGGTTTGGTCTTTGGCAGCACCTAGGTTTGACAAACAGTTGTCAATGTTTACTAGTTTTCCCTTATTCTTCTTCTCCTAACATATAATGCCAATGACTTTAACCAGGCGTCTGTCACCATGGTAACTGGTGTTGGATTACTAGTACATTATGAAGCACGTTAGAGGGACTAGTCACTACATATATGGATTTGTTTACTCCGAATAACCAGAGCAGTGGTTTGTTAGGTTAGATCATTAACCATGTGAAGGTAAGCATTTCTTCAATAATATAGATTGTATATTTTATCTAATAATAAGGAAATACTGTATCTTCATCGTTGTTAATTTACATGTCGTCTTTGTGCTCCTACAAAGCAATCCTTTATTTGGTGAATAATAATCTCAAGTTGTTTGAGACGAACGTTGGTCTTACCCGCACATGTTGGCGAAAAAGTCTGATATAATTTCGGTCGCGCTCTTGTCTGCAGACTGTCCAGACGAGCTGCCTTCTCTTGTCCCTGGTAAAATGTAAAAGAAATTGAACGTCAAATGATTTATTATGCATGTACAAATGTCATTGTGTCTATGGCAGGCACAGATGACTTAATTGTAAGGCTATGTCGTTTTTCTCAGTAGATTGTATCAAGGAGGTTGACAGGGAAGGATAATTCAAAGGCTTCTGCTTTTATGGACCTAGGGATATCAGATGCATGTATAATGGTGTCACAATGATATTTTCCTCATTGCCTGAATGCCTAGCCCAAGAACTGATCCATTACCTCCCCCTACCGTTCCTCCTTTGCTAACTAAGTACTCGATAGAAGATTCATTTGACAATGTGTAGAAGTTATTCCAAAACACTTGTATCTTTACAATTGTTTAACACGATTTGTAACATACCCCATGTCCTGTCGGTGAGGTTACAGACGCTGTAGAGCGTCAGCAGGATGTAACCTGTAGGAAGGGCCAGGAAGTAGACCAGACCGTAGAGCAGGCTGGGAAACTCCCTGAAGTGGACCAGTCCTGTGATGACGTACATCCCGACCAGCGCCAGAAAGTACATGGTGCTGATGCTGGGGAAATGGCTGCAGCCTAGGGAAATAGGCAGGCAGAATGCCATTGTTTTGTAGTGCTAAAGTATAATAAAAATCACTGATTACAGATGTTTGTAATATGATTCAAAGAAAGACAGTGGATGTCAGAAACGATATCGAACATGGTCAAACACAATTTACAGCTGTAAAAACTGTTGGATAGATTCGTCGATGAAGGTTACACATCCAGGTAATACGATACGCCAAAAAACAGTTACTCAAGCAATTGGATATGATTTTGAAAACGTCATTGAAGATTTTGACGTCAAAGATTTTGACGTTTTCAAAATCATATCCAGTTGCTTCAGTAACTGTTTTTTGGCGTGTTGGATAGATTCTCTGATTCACACAAGCAATGCGAGCCATTTCTAACTCCAATTTGATTTTTGTTTGAATCTTTGTTCATTAATGAGAAAAAACATTAGCAGCTCAAATAGGCCACGGTGAATACGCAATGTTTTTCATTGATGTCATGAGGAAAGAGGTAAGGGTCAGAAAACAATTAGTATTGAACAAAGGTACAGATCATTTAAAGTCCTGATGTAAAATGGTGGCAACTGATAATACGGCAGACAATGTCAAGGCAGAACTTCACAGACGCGCTGTTTTTTTTCTCTGCAGAGATGATCACAGTACAGAAGTAACCGAAGATAGTACTTATACTCCGAATTATATGCCTCTATCAGTCTATCGCATCATAAGCAAGATCTACCATTATTTAAGTCGTCGATCAGTGAGATAAATTCCACGACTGTCTCCTCTATGAGCGACACCAACACCAGAGTCATCAGCACGGCGAAACATAGGGACAGGAGCTGGGCCACCTGAGTCCAACAAAAATAAAGATACATAAAGATACAACACTTCAGCTCACTGGTAACAATATAAGACATGAAACCCTCAAACATTTTATCATTATCAGTATACAAACAAGATAATGATTGAAACCATAGTATAGTGGCGTACATGTAGTTGAAAAATTCTTCTTTTTTGTGCGTTTTCAAAAGTCCATAAATTTGGGGGGGGGTATAAATTTAGGCAGAAATTGAGACCCCTCTGTATCCATATTTGTGTAGAATATGTTCAGCTACAGCTATGCCTGCGAACTTCAAGTCTTACCCTCAGTTGGAATTTCTGGGAGGTGCAGAGACAGATCATGCCATACAGCAGGGACACGAGGGAAAGGACAACCACAATGGTTATGGATACTGCCTGGGCTTCAGAACCTCCCCCAGTCGAGGTATTTTCGGTAGGGACCGTCCCGTTGATGCATGTTGGTTTGGCTTCTGCACCCTTGGTCTCGTAGTTGAAGAACTGCAAACCGCCTGGTGATAGCAATATAAATAGGGTGTATGAAATGGGTATCCAGAACCTCGCCTATCTACATGTAGTTCTGTACCTGAATGGGTTGGGGCAGGATCAGCCACCAGGCTAGCACGGCACTGGGTACCCGTGGACTGTCCAGGGTATTCAAAGGTACATGACAGCTTTTGGGTAGCAAAAATGATTTTTTTCAATTGTTATGTTATCATTTTCATTTACCCTCGACATAGAATAGTGCAGATTGCACTGCAATAGGTAACTTTGTACATGGGAGTGTTTTGTTGGCCTACATTTCACACATACATGTCAGTTATTTTAAAGTTACCGCACATCAAGAGACAAGTGTATATACACATGTGTAAAGCCTTGTACCTGCTATGATGAGCACACACGTGGCCGGACCGATCAGTCCGGAGAAGAACAGCAGACCCTGGTACACCATGAACAGGAACGAGACGCTGTCCCGCCGCATCTCGTTCCCAAAGTACTTCTCAAGAATCTCAATCTGATGTTAGAAGAAAACAAATGAAATCTATCAAAGAGGAAACCTAATGCTTTGTAGGTTTTAAACCATTCTGTGATTTTCCTTTGCAGGATTGTAGCTTACTTGTACTTGACCAGGCAGGCAGATTCAATAGTGTACCCTCTTCTTCGTCTATAACACCGCATCCTTTAAAAACACATTCTGAACTAAACCATGACACAAATAACCCTGAAATAAAACAGTTCCTGAGAATATTCAAAAGTGATTCAATGAACGAAGACGTTTCGACCAAAACACACTCCTCTGGTGTCAAGGAACTTTGAATATTGCAAATCATGTTCATAGTGACATCACTGGCAGCATTTAGTTGGCTTTATAATTACCTATCACATTTGAATATTTTGAATTTTCTCAGAAACTGTTGTATGTCAGTATCATTGTTGTCACCTCGTCTTTATTTTAAACCATATCTTTTATTTGTGAAGGTAAAACGCCAAACTGCAACATTGCTGCCGTACCTGGTTGGCGACAGTAGACGGTCCCCACCGTCTCCTCTGGTTGTAGAACTCTCCGAACTCCTCCGGACAGTAGGTGCTGTCCTCGGACACAGCCGTGTACTCCAGCCGCCAGCCGTTACTCACCTGAAACATGCATAGCTCACTTAGTTATAAAAATAACAAAATCTGTACAGTGGTAAAGGTTAGACATCCAGATAATACGATACGCCAAAACAGTTACTCAAGCAACTGGATATGGTTTTGAAAACGGTCAGACTTTTCAGGTAGAATCCACTAGCTTTCGTCTGTCCGTTTCCAAAATCATATCCAGTTGCTTGTCAATGCGTAACTGTTTTTTTTTTTGGTCAAAATCTGCACAGTTCGGCAACTGTTCCACTGATAGATTGGACAGCATCGTAATTCAAATCAATACTCTCAAAGTAGAGGTTCATTTGAAGACTATCTTACATATGTATTATTGGATTATAAAGTGTCCAATTGTATATTGCGTTGCTGGTTGGTTGCTTCACCATAAAAGAATCTGCTAGTAACTAATTAGCACACATGTAAAGTACTACAACTTGCATTACAATTTACGATCATACCAACGATGAGGAAATATTGGGCTTACCATAAGAGTACACAGCCACCTGTCCTCCCCCATGTCTTTCATCAGGAACTCCCTGGCCTCGGACACTCCTCCGGCGTAAGTCCCCAGGGCTTCCCGTAACGCCTCGGCCCGGTAAATACTGAAGCAACCCGGGCAGCAGAGGACGGACCCCAGCACACTGTTGGCCGTCTAAAGATATGCAATAACAATGCACTACGTCTGCTTGAATGTCCTAAACATCATTGAATATATAGTTCACGACATTTGTCGAAGGGACAGTCTAGCAAATATACATGTATGACTTCTACACCCCTTTAATGCTGAGGTTACATTTCCAAACCGGTGCCCGCCCGGGCAGTCTTATGGAACGAAAATCATTATATAAAACACAACAAAGAACAAAGGTGAAAAGTCAATAACGGGCACTATTTGCGTATGTTATTGATATAAATTGTTGTCCGGGCCCCGATTTGGAAATTTGACCTCAGCATTTATTCAGTCGAATCTTTACATAAGTTTCAATCTTCACTACTCCCTAATTACTTGCCGGTAGCTCAGACACATTGGAAGATTATAAAGGGTAAGAAATGGTTCTGAGTACAAGAAAAAGATCTCGCAAAAAGTTTATCATAGAATGCTAGAAGAAAAAAAAAACTCTTACCTTTTGGTACCAGTGGCCCACGGCGTAGTCGAACTTCTGGTACCAGACCATGGGCCCCGACCCCAGGGGATGAGTCCGGCCGCAGACCGCCCCCACCGTGGGGTCCCTACGCGCCAGGTCCAGCAGGGCCCGGGCTGACTCGGGCGTGAACTTCACGTCTGCGTCCGTCGCCAGGATGTACGTGTCACGGTCTAAAAGTTGCCACGACAGAGAAGAGGATATAACAGAAACTCGTAGTGTCAGTCTACTGAGGAAGACCAGAGTGATTGGTCGAAAGCTCTAGGCGAAATTTTTGTGTTGGACCAAAAGTTTTAACTTTAAACATGTAACTACCAACACAGATGAATTTTCATGATAGAAACTGATAGTGTTTGGACAACATGAGAGGTCAGGTGTTTAGGGCTAGGGTTAGGGTTAGGTTTAGGGTTGGTAGTAGAGTTAGGGTTAGGGATAGAGTTGGGATCATTGTTCAGGGCCAGGGCAATATGCTACAGGAGCAGTCAAACATTCGTGCTTTAAACGATCTATCTTTTTCAGAATGCGTGAGCTTACCGTCCATCTGTTGCTGTTCCCTTGCTTGACCTCCAAGGGCGTAGTCCAACACGTACGACATATACATCACCTGACTCCACCGCTTCTTGTTCTTCACCTGGGTATTCAGGAAAAATCAAACATAATGTTGTTTTGCATAACTTACCTTAAATCCCACTGAATCTCGTTCATAAAGCACGACATTTTCTAGTTTCATAAATTGGAGCATGGGCATCATTAGCAACCCTTTAAACATGTTGAGAAATCAGGGAACATGACAAAATCGTACCTTGGTGTTGTCCTTCAGATGAAGTATCAACTTCATCCCCCCTCCGACGTCCTCAGCACCCTCCAACGAGGGGAGATGCCATTGCAGCTGAAGACCGTACGGAGTCCGCCATTTTTCACAGGTTTCGATCAAACTAGGCCCACCTGAAAGGGAGGGGGGCAGAAAATGAAAATGCTTTATTTGGTTTTCTAAGAGCGACCACAAGAATTTCGAAATACGTTACCCTAATTGTGACACAGCAAAGCAGCACTCGACCGCAGTATAGTATGATCTGCTTTTAGTCAAGAAATTCTTGTCTGTTTTCTCAAAATTAAGTCCACACGGATTTGATTTTATGGATAACATTCACTCGCGCATTGGTATTTGCCAGTTCTAAAAAAAATTACCTTCTACGAGGCTCTCGACTGGGTACCATCCTCCGTAGTTCATGGTAACTAGCGACAATAAGGAGCCGGCGATAACTATGAAGACTGGCACACAGAGAACGGGGGAGAGAATTTTGATAGAGACAAGAGTTAGCTGAAGATAATACAGGCAGATTCCACTCACCCTTGTCGCCCATGCTGTCGATGATTGACAGGAGCTGCAGGGCGAAGTCCTGGACTTGGCCGTTCTTGTAGCCGTCGTCAAAGAAGATGTGTGCCTCGAACTCTACCTTGGATTCCTCAATTTTCTTCTCTGTTTGGGTCTTTGCGATGTCCCACAGGGAATTCATGAGCTGCTTCATCTCTTTGGCAATCTGTGAAGGAAGCGGTATACATATCATAATTAAAAGCTTACGAACAAATTCAAACTGTAATTTCCACCCAAAAAATAGGACTTACCCAAAGGGATGAGGTTAAGCGTTTGTGTCTAAGTCTTAAAAATCCATGTGATCGATGTTATATAGTTAATATGTTATTCTATCTAGCATCAAACATATTCACAGACACGCGTACGCTAAAACAAATACATACAATAATCCAGATGCAGAGGGACTTACATACATGTATACAAAAAGACAATTTCATACAAAGAAGATACAAAGAAGAAATAACACACAGCAACGCTTCTCAATATATAACCTTGGAATAGGAAAATACTTGTACGAACCTCATGATACATCGTCGTGCAGATGAAGACCCGCGTTTTCCTCAGTTCTACCGGTATTGGCGCCTCGTCCTTTTTGCTTGGCAGGTCAGTGCGTCTGGTCAGGAGCAGCCATTGGTCCAGGAGTACAGAGTTGTAACCTGGAGTCCACAACAGCTGTTGGTGGGAGAAAAGCGTTCATTACTAATGTGTACATGAGAGTGATTCCAAACAAGCAGACTCACGAAGATGGACACACAGACACACAATTTTTTTTTAAATTTTCCCTTCTGAAGTGGCAGTTCCAGTGTATTTTATAGAATTTCAAAGGAAATCAGGTATTATTTCAGGTAACTTTTATCCGGTAACTTTTCTTTCAATGACAAAGTGATCAGTTTTTCTAGGACTCCAACCCCACTGGTAATACAATTCAGTCCACCTTTTAAAAAATTAAAGGAAAATATTGGACCTTTAGATCAAAACCTTGAGCCTTGAGAGGGGGATCGATCCCCCCCCCCCGAATCCCCCTTGGCTACGGGCATTTGCTAGATTTGAGTGCAAAGCTGAAGTCAAAATCAACAGGTAGATTCTGCTGTCAGCCATTGAAGTATGTAATGAAAAAAAAACTCACCTTCGATTCTTTCTCCATGACGATTGTCGGTACTTTCCACACGTCGTACATTTGCACGATCATCCCGATCATGGTAAGGACGAACACCACGCTGCACGCGGTGAAGGGCGTCCATCCCCCTTTTTCTGAAGATACTACTGTCCAACCCCATTGTTCCCAGTTCTCCGTTTTACAGAGGCCAAGTTCTTGTACTGGCGGAATGCTAGCACACAGCGGAGTGTGGATGCCGATGATGAGAAACAAACTGACCGTCATGTTAGACAGGAAGATGGGCAGGAGAAAACCAAAGGTCTGCATCTTCATCATCAACGCGAGGATAGCGAAGGCGTACCCAAACAGGCCAAATATCCCATTGGCGAGGAAAGATACAAACACGTCGTCGGTGATGGAGACAGGAGGGATGTGCCAGTTGATGCAAAGAGGATCCTGTCCTCTCATCAAAGGGTAGAAGAGGAAAACAGCGAGAGCCCAGATCAGACATTTTACGAAGTTGGTAATGATGCCAAGCTTCCAGCAGGCCGTGTTGTTCTGAGTCTTGTTTGGGCCAATCGTGCTGCCGCGTTCCGTATCGTAAGGATGCACGGTGTTGTCCTTTGAAACAGAGAGCTTGTGGAGAACTGGAGTCCAGGAAACGGCTAGCAACGCGAATGAGACCAAGATGTCCCACCGTAGCTCTTTTGACCAGTGTTGATCTGGTACAAACGTTGTCGCGAGACAACCCAGAATGATGACGAACAGTGCAGAGAAAGAGATGCCTTTGATTTTACTCTTCTTCCCATTGTTGTCTCCTCTGAAGCTGTGAACTGACTTCGTAAGGACGCTGTTCATAAAGACTAGGTTCACAACAATGAGTCCGATTGAAGGAGACGCAGGCAGAGCCCAGAGAACGAGCAACGATAAAGACAAAACCTCCAACACGGCCAACAGAGTACCCTGGAAATAGAAGTGTATTATTAAGTACCATGCCTACCTAGTCCTGACGTGTACGTGCTGAACAAGGTACTGAACCTTGCTTCCCGCAAGAGCTTGCTAGACTCTGCTACGGCGACTTTCAATCCTACTTCCATGCCCCCTTGTCTTATAATTATTATCACCAAAGTAATAAATGTACATGTAGCCTTTATATTGCCTCTTATTAATCATCATCAGTTTATCATAAACGTCAGAACTATTTAGCCCACTACAAATACTGAACAGTTTTATTGCTAATCCTTTTGCTTCCTATTTGAAGCCTTAACACTTGTCCCTGCAGTTTTAGGAAGTCACTAGTAAATGTGTTTGAGTAAAAACTTAATTTAAAACAGGAATAATGGGCAGTTGATTTATTGTCTGAAATTTTATACGCCGAGATTCTATTCTATTGTCATAAGAGAATAGAGACAGGACTCTGCACCGAGTGAACAAACAAACGTTTGATTTTTAAAATTTAGTTCTTTAGATTCACAACAAGAGTGTGTGGGGTGAGGGTAAAGAGTGAACTAATGACAACCTTCTTCCTTAGCAACGCCCCATATTGACGTTTCATTTATAAGATTGTTTGGTATCTAAACCCTCCTTAGCGTTGGCCGTGACAACCGCTACAAATTGGACGTATTTGGAACGCAAAGCCATTATGTTCCAACCACCGAACAAACAAAAGAACCGATGCATATCTGCGTTGTAGGGAGACTTTGGCCCAAAGTTGCTTGGGTGAAAAGTTGAACTGTCGGCAACCTTGGTGATAAGTAAATAGTGTGCACATGTTCTCACAGGTGAGGATTGTGGTTTTCTATAAATAAGAAATGTCTTTGTGTGGCGCACGGCTTTGTTAGTGTATCGCATTGTACTTGGTGGCCGACGTGGTGGTTATTATGATCACAATTGATGTCCCCCTCTCAATCTATCTCAGAAATGTGTCTGGGTATACATAAAGCATGGTTCTCGATACAAGAAACAGCTTGTCAGCATTTTACACTTTTCAACTTGACTTATATTAACAAGGATAGCTTACTGAATGTTATGAATTGGAGTGTTTTGTGGCGATGTAGAGGCCGGTAACGTTAACTACTTGGGCAAAGTTGAATGTGTTCTGTGTTGTCGATGTACGTAATGTTTGTTTGTTTCCTTTGCATAACCGGTAAACTACTTTTTTTTAGGCGTAACAAACCAGTTTTGTATATGTAAGTACAAGCTGTGTAAGACTTAACTGTAAGGTTTGAACCACTCACACCGGAAAGGATCCCTACTCTTTTCGATAAGTGCGGTGGGATCTTCAACGTGAATGGGGTGTGGCTCTCCAAACACTGGACTCCATTTAAATTTCTATCTGGGGGACGTCCCTAACAGAAGCTAGGTACTCATTTCTACCTAAGAGATGTGAGGAAAGTCGTGTAAAGTGCCTTTTCTAAGGACACAAGATCGGTGAAATGGATAGGATTTGAACCCGGGACCTCTTGGTTCTGAGCCGGAACACGCTACCGTTTACGCCGCACGATCCCACTTCTGTGTTCTTTGTTATCGATGTACGGATTGTTAGTGTAAAAGGTTTTTCCGGGTTGTAAAAGAACATACTAAAAACAGTTCTTTTATAAGTGAATGGTTGTCAAGTCAACTGCATGTAAATATCAGTGGCTAAACAATAATGCTTACATTATTGGGACTTACTTTGGGGACTTAATCAGACTATACTTTTCATCAGACCACAAGCATTCCATAAGAAAATTGGGTCACCAATGTTGGGTGGTTCAATTTGTATTATATAGTTACGATAACATGTAACTTTTTGTTATATTTAAAACAAAAGATAATTCATTCACTGAGTCAGGCATATTCTCTTTACCATATATGTATCCACTGAGTATCTGATAGGATGCAGAAGAATTAATTGATTAAAAAATCATAGAAAGAAACTCACCAGAATGATGTGGCGTCGACTTGGGTTCGGTTCGTAGTTCCAGTTCATGAGCGAGATCCAGACACATCTGAGCAACGTGATCGCGTACGGGATCCCTATGAGCAGGGCCAGCCAGATCACAACTGGATCTACAGGATCACAACTCGATGCCGGAGTTTTTAGAGCGTCGTTCAACTTTAGTTCCAAGTAGAACAAAGTGAGCTTGCTAAAAACGCTGCAACAGAGAACAACCAAGAACACAAACGCTATCGCACTCAGACGCAGCGCTTTCCTCAAGTATCCAGAACAACCATCTTCTGCCTCGCTCGAGTCACTTTCGTTGCTTTCTGCGGTGACAGCATTACTGACTGTCAGTCTCGCGGCCCAATCGGCAGGCATGTTCGTAGTTGCTGCCTGTGGGTTATCGAAGAGATCTCTTGAAGTTCCTGGCTGAGAATTGTCCGTGTTGGTGCTGCCTCCAGGCCAGCTAGGTCGGTCGTGTCTTGTCGTTGACAGGTTCCTTCCCGACGTTTCTCCCAGTGAACTTCCTTGTTGGATCGTCGTTTGGTCCGCCGGTGTTCGCAGACTGTGTGTGGAGCCTAGCGGGACTTTAACATTTGTCTCATGACCTACATCGATTTGCTCATTCCCCGTTGGAACCTGCCCATTCGGTACTGAATCTGGTTCATCTGCTGGAGGTCCTTTGTCTCCCGGAAGATTTTGGTCACCGTCTTGTTCGGTGAAGGTGCCGGCATTGCTCTGGTGTTGCGAAGAGGACGCTGTGGGCTCAGAGTCTGGTGAAGAGTGCCTCTGGTTCTCTGTGGTCGCCTCGGAGTTCTCTCCTTCGTCCAAGTTTTCCGTAACGTCTCTTCCGTTTGAAGCAGTCGGAACAGGCCTCTCCTCTTCCATGGCGTTTGTCGCTTGGTCTTCAAAATGCCCACTGTCCGTTTCAGTGCTACTCTCCCTATTTAACGAAAATTGTTCTCCGGTCAGCCCGTCTGGTGGACGGCTGGGTGGAGACCACAAGTCTTTTACACCTGTATTTCCGTTGTTGTCCGTCTTGACTCGACTGTACTTGCGTACAATATCGTCTATCGAACCTCTACTGACGTCTTTCTCCTCTGACAGGTCCGTCTCCAAATCGTTGCCACTCAAAGCGGGCTCCTCGGCGATAGTTGTCATCTCTATGGTAGCCATATTGTTTGTGTATAGGTAGGCTGGTTAGAACGCTAGCCACGAAGGCTTGCGCAAACGGTAACCTTGTACGTGGCACAAGCTTATCTCTCCTTAACGTCCACAAAAACTTACTGTTGTCACTTTGCTCCCACTGAACTCCTCACCGTCTTTGTTCTGAGTTGAAGAGAAAAATCGTACGTGCTATTGTCTCACCTGGATGTCAGATTTTGGTTGACATAGCCCAGATCTTTGGACAGATTTTCGCCCTGCTTTACTTCCTCCTCAGATACTGTGGTCAGGTGCTATATTGAGAGGGTGACGTTAGCGTTTGGGTCATTGTACTCAAGTAGAGAGTAGGGTGAATTCGTATCCCAAGTATACACTTACGAAGTAAATACCCTTCCCAATGACGATGGAAACGAACTTACATAGACTTCTCGAGCATAAAAGATTGCAACATTTAGATCATTTAGCAACAAAAAATAAAATATTTCGAATCTTTCTGCTTTCTTTGAGTTCAATCTTACCTACAAATCAGCAAAGTCTAAGCGTCTAACAAATTTCTAAATGATTACCTTGACATACAAGCGCCTAGAAACGTATTTACGTACACATAGAAACCGTCTGCTTGTATGGAGTTTAAATTTTCAACGATTTCTAAACTACAATTAGAGCTCTTTTTGATAAAACATACTTGAGGGATGGTTAAAATGGATTCAAATTTATACGTGCGTGTCCGCACGTATGTATATATTTGAATCAACCTTTCAAATCCTAATGTTTGCCGTGTCTCTAGTGTGTTTGTATAACGGTTCACACAGTGGTCACTGAAGTGGCCAAAGTCCCACAGGTGTCCGAAGGTGTTTGTTTTGCTATTAGTCTACGTTTGTTTTTGTCTTGGCTGCGAGACATTTTTGCGTATCCTTGTTGCATAATTCCGCTTAGTCAGGGTTTTGTAGGGTGTTAGTGTATCTTCAAGCAGATACATGGCGCCGACATGTTCTGCACATTCTAACAATAGTGTCGCCGCTATTGTATTTGTGTTCGTTTTCTTGAATGTTTTATATAGCTAGAAATCTTCACAAAAGACACTGTAGCTAGACATCGTCACAAAAGACGTCAAAAACAAGAATTTGGCACTGAATTTGTGGAGATAAGGAGATTGTAGCAGTGTTAAAGTTAAATTAAAAGTAACAATATGTAGCAAAGACTGTTGTATTCGACACATGTGTGTTCTACATTGGGGTAGTTTAAAGTCAGGACCGCACGAGGAAACATGACAACACTAAGTACATTATGTTTTTTTTTTCATTATCACTTTAATGTGACAAATATGGCATTGTGATGAAAAAGTCCAAGCTTTCTTCCTCTTGGGAAACTAGCTCTTGCATGCATGCAGACTGTTGGAAAAAGAGACACGTATGTAGATACAAGTCAGTCAAGAGTGGCGTCAAGTGTCTGTATATGTATAGCCGTTACAACCGTGGCTGTGGTGTACAGAATTAAGCTGTGTCCGGGTTATAATAGAAGATGCCGTAGCCATGTGAAAAATTAATGTGAGAGGAAAAGAAATCATCCGGCCCACCTTCACCCGAATGTGTCGAAAAGGTCCTGAAAACCGTCATTAGTAGGGTCCACGCAGTCAAAGTTACAGCCGTTACAGTAGTTGGACCTGTAATTTCATTTAAAAATTATTATATCATCATAAAACGACACACGCCAATACATTGCACAAAAACATACATTGCCCCCCCCCTCAAACCACCAGACATACACGTAAATGCATGCATACAGACACTGCGACACAAGCACACACACACACACACACACACACAAACACACACGCACGCACGCACACACACACACACACACACACACATACACACGCAAACACACACACACACAAGCACACACACACAAGCACAAATACTGACACACTGTAACCCAAAACATGTAAGTGGCTCTCACGAGCCTTGTTTTGAGGTGAATCTGAAGTAAATAATAATAAAAAACACACACACACACACATGTAACACACACACACACACACACACACACACACACACACACACACACACACACACACACACACACACACACACACACACACAACATATGCACATGTACGCACAAAATTCACACAAACAGACAGGTAGATACAAATACATAGACACACGCACACACTCCAAAAGCATCCTTCTGATAGGTATAAAGATAAAGAAATTTTAGCGAGTGAAACATCTCAGATGCTGGCTTTCCGGTTACTTATTGACCCTTACCTACAGGTAGTCCCTTCCGGACAGAATGCCATCATACAGGGGTCCATAAAACAGTACACCATGTTGCAAGCTGAAATGGGAATGGAATTTTAGCTACAACACGAAGTAAACAAGTCATATTGATTTCTGTTCCTGTTATTTCGCACGAGAAACAATGTATTTCTTCAGGCTGAACTGACCTACTATGCATCTATCGCTCTCTATCTCTTACTGTCTCTGTCTCCTTCTCTCTGCCTATCTATTCATCGCTGGCACTTCCTTGTTCTGTATCTCCTCCCCTGTCTCTTTCCCTCTCTCTACCTACCCGTCTGTTGTTTTTTTCACTCATTCCCTCTTCCTGTCTCTCTATCTCAAGCTCTGCCCTACCAATGACCGTACCGTTCTGAATAGAAGCTAAATGTATAATTGTAAGAATAGAAACGTACCGATCCCGCCATTTCCATCGTTCCATGGCAAAATGCTCAAGCGGGACAGCTCCATGGCTGAAGACATGAAACAAAATTTAACGTTCATCAGAAAAAAAAAAAGGATTGTGAATTGAGGCACTATCTTGTCAAAAAGGTTCATAAGTAATAAAATAGGTGAACTTTATGTATGTTTCTCCATCCAGTTAAGCCTAGTTCATTTGTCAAGTAATTTTATTTTATTTTGATACACAATATTCTGATAAAAGGTGGGGCTTGTACATTTAGACGTGGCGTAGTTGTTTAACAATTAGTCCTTTGGGAAGAAGTAATAAAATGAAGATCATTATCTTACTAACCCTGAGAACAAGCCAGGAGTCCGAGAAAGATGACGAGTGTGGCCTTCATGGTCTCAGCTTTTCAAGGGTTAAAGCAAAGAGTCTTTCCAACTTTTGTTGTACTGTTAGAGTGAGTATTATGTAAAAGTGTACGTGTAACAGTTTATATAGAAAGGTTAGGGCGGACGTTAGGTTGCTTGTTTTGCATATTTAGACAGCTGTCTTTTCACATATGTTATAGCAAGCAGAGATATGACAGGAAAAGTTAGTAGTTTTATTGTTATCTTTATTTTACGTCTGTTTGTTAAAAAAAAGGCCAAGAACATCCACATGCCACTTGTAAAAATTATAGGGCTCGCCCGGGAATTGAACCCGGGACCTCTCGCACCCTAAGCGAGAATCATACCACTAGACCAGCGAGCCAAGTTAATAATCGCCGAACTTTTGCTAGTGAAAACTATGACTAAAGGTCACATACAGTAAGGTAGACCAAGAGCTGGAACGTTGCCAAAATATAACAGGATACGGCGTTGTTGAAATCATCGTATTATACATTGCATCAAGCATAGAACGCTTTAAAAGATAAAGATAAAAATTGACAACATTATGAGGGTAAAATAACCAACAATGTTATGTGCACAGTCAATAATCCAGTTATATTTTTTTATAATTCATAAATGAAAACGTAATTATATATTTTATGATAGAAAGACAATTCGTTTAGTGATAAATTCAGTAACATTACAGCTTGTTGTTCAGAGAAATAACAACAGATTGAAGTCCATGATCAGGAAGCAGGGGCATTATATAGTATTCTTCGCCTAGCCGGCTTAAAAAGTAAGATTTCTTTGCCCCATTTTCTCCTGGTACAAAGCTAAGCTATACCTGTGCAATATAATTATCATACAATATGAAGAGCTTCTAGCAACTAATTGTTTATTTAATATTCAGCGTGTAAAAGTGGGATCCTTTGTCTCCCTCTGTCTTAAAAAAAGAAGTCAAAACCAGTAGTTTTTACTAGACGTTTCTTAGTAGTTATCAGTAGTTCTATGTGTACAATTTGCAATACAATTTGCAATAAAACAATTATTATCTATTCTTCATCATCAAAAGTGAGGTCTGTTCCCGCCATTTTCTCTCGATGGAAAGCCTCGAATTTCTCCAGCTGCTCTTGAGAGAACCAGTTCCTCCAATCACCCACCTTCCCTGTGGAAAAAATAACAGTATTTGTTTAGATTTATGCTTTATCCTGAAACTTGCCCAGGCACGGTTCTGGATAGTTCATGCGAATCCAGAAACGTACCTAGGGCAAATTCTTGGATACGTGGGAACTATTCAGAAACATAAGAGCTCACAGACCTACCCTGAACAGAGACGGGGGGCGACACAATTTATCTGGCACGTATGACCAGCTACTACGGTCACGTGTCTCTGACGTCACGTTCCAAGAGTAGACGGGTCCGTTCCGTGAACAAGGTTGATGGAGTCAAACGAAAATTTGGGGTAAGTCCCAATTCTATACCTAGTGTTGAAAGTTACAGTTCAGTTTTTATTTCATAATGATTTGTACCAACACAGATGAACTTTCATGATATTCAGAAACATGACTGATCCTAACCTTATCTATTCAGACATATGAACTAGATATGTACGGTTCTGGATACGATATCCCCTCCATCAAATAAGAAAACATAAATAAGATCACAGTGCTTCGTATCTTGCTTAATAGGAATCTGATATTAAATCTATTAATATTATCAATAATTGATTTAATTTTGTACAATTTAAAAGTTCGCCGACCTTTCCTGTGGAAAATTAAAGTGTTTGCAGTCACGTGACTGTGGCGTAATTTGGAATCCGCCATGTTGTTCGGTTAGACATGTGAGGAATATTCCAAATTGTTGATTTCCCTCTACATCTAAATGGCTGAAGTTAAAACCAAGCAAGACGATTTCCGCCAAAGCCAACTGTTTGTAGCTTGTGAGTCAAAAGGGCATGAAAAACAGAATCAAATGCTTTGGCAAAGTCGAGAAATAAAAATAGCAATAAAGGAAATACTGCGTTGTAAAGACAACGTTCCATGACTTTGCTTTAATACAAGAGATAATAGAGACACTGGTCTATAGTTAGCAACAGTCTCCTTATTTATAATATCATTTATATCATTAATATTATTTATTTATCATTATATAATATTAGGAACCGGTGCAATAGCTCAATTGGTAGAGTGCTCGCTTTGTAACCGGGAGGTCGTGAGTTCAAACCCCGGCCACAAAAAGGGCGATATAAATGAAATTATATCGCCCTTTTTGTGGACAGGAGACACATTGGCTTTCTTTCACTTACTTGGGACCTGACCAAGTGAGATCGACTTATTGAATAACGTTAAAGACAGTGCGAGAACCTGTGCGAGAAGACGTGGTGACGGCACACTCAAGTTTTTTCAACTTATATTAATGCCACCATCAACACAGGGGACAAATACATGACAGGACAATACTCATTTACACCTGAGCGAAGTGAGGAAAGTCGTGTTAAGTGCCTTTCCCAAGGGCACAAGATCGTTGACATGTCAGGACTTGAACCCAGGACCTCTTGATTCCAAGTCGAGCACTCTGAAGCTACGCCACACGACCCCACATGTGCGAGAACCTTAGCACAGGTGTAATAATATACCTTTTCTCACGAACTCAATTCCATTTTCCTTCCCTCGCTTGAACATCTTCTCTCCCATGACGGGGTCACGTGACACGTTGGTTGCTTGGTTACCCTTCATGGCGGTAAAAGTACAGTTTGCTGTCACCTCGTCTATCTGTTCCTCCGTCAGGTTTCTTCCCAGGAACTCTGCGATCTTCATCACATGGCCTCGGAGGTCCTAGGGAGTTGTGTATGAAATAGTTAAAGCGATCTTATGTAAGATTTTTGCACCAAAACTGTAAACATAAATAGTTGAAATTTTCTCGTCTAGAGTGTCATTTTCAATAACTTTCAACATATTAACATCGCTATTTCGCTTTCCTGGCGACTCAGCGCAGCGCGAGAATAAGTTGCGCCAAGAAAACAATTGCCGAAGGAAAAACAGTTTATTTTATACCTTTTTCATATCTTCATACTTGATGAAAAGGAGGTTGTTGTTGTCCTTATGGCGCCAGTACTCAGGAATAGCGGTCCACCATGAGTTCATGGGCGGTCCTGGAATGTTTTTTCAACATTAAACAAAAATAAGGACGTTACACTCAAACTACACAATTATCTTATAACGCAACATACACACATAAACAATACAGGAGTGATTTGCAGTTTGCCCCCTTCCTTTAACCATATTGATTGTTTTTAGGTGTGGGAACAAAGTTGGAACTCCGTATTATACTACATGTAACTACCAACACAATTGAATGCTAATTATTAATCTCCAAGCAGATCCCTTTCGGTGGCAAGACAGTATCCATTAGCCAGAGATGGTCGCCGGCCACCGACGGGGTACCGACAATAAAATGCCATATATAAAAAGCTAATTACGATCATTCCCTTACAACCTCTGCTTGGAGAGTACTAATTATGTTAACTGTTTACGTTGAGTAAATTACTCATGTAAACAAATCAGATAGGAAACAAATCAAGTGAACTACATTTTGTACCTGAGAGAAATTCTTCCACTGTCTCTTCCCAGGACAAGGGCGGCAGCAGGTCGTTCATCTGTACCATGTTATACAGGGACACGGCTACGTCTTTGGGATTCCGGGCGCAATACACGATCTGGAGCACAAAATGAAAACATTTGGGAATTCTTGTACCTCGTGTTGTGGATTCCAATATGTGGATTCCAATATCAAACCAGTATCATATTGGAAAGTCCAGACTTTTGTATAATAACAACTGACAAAAATGATAAATTGTAGGATCCACGTAATTGTTTAGTTACTCAGTGAATGCAGTAATTAAAGAGAAATAAAACATTTAAGAAATAGACCTTTCCTTTTACGATTTAGGCCCTTGCAATTCGTCAGGAAAATCGTTCCAATCCAAGATGGCCGACCTATGGCATCACAAACCAACATGGCGGCGACAATACACGAACGGCAAAATAATAGACTATAGTTTTTTTCTAAGTTAACCCTGAAAATTGATGAAGATACCTTTCCTTTCCCCTCTCTAGCTTGTTTAGGCAGCATGCTGTAGTTCAGATGGGTCTTCATCAGACGTGGGGAGGGGCTGTCGTTCAGCAAAGAGATGGTAGGGGGCGCTTCTGGTCCACTGTGAACGTCTTCTGTCTCTAGCCACGGAACTCGATTAGTCACGGGGATCTTACTGACCTCGCTAAAGTTACTTCCGGCGGTCACAAGTGAGACGATCTGTTGTGTCCAAGTCGTTCCTAGCAAGGAAAAGACATTTAATAGTCTCCAAGTAGATGTTTAGAGACATATATGTCAGACAGACATTGTCTCTCCCACGACTACCCCTACTTGAGAAGACTTTACGATCTCTGGTCGCAACTTCTGCTTAAAGACCAACTGAAGATGTTAATGTGGAAGATCGCAACCTTTCCTAACGTTTCCCTACAAATCAAGTGACTTATTATCATCTTTGAAATTTTCGACTGTGCAACTCAAAGTATTTGTCCGAATCTCTTGTGTCGGAAAAATTACAGTTTAAACTCCTTCATAATGACTTCAACCAACACAGATGAACTTTCAAGATGATATTGACTTATTATAGAGTCTGTGAAAAAACATTTAGCCGTGTTGTCCTGACTTCGGGGACAGTGACTTGCAACTTTCCCCCTCCCTGCCCTCTAATCACAAATCCCCGCTATTAAGTATACAATTGACCATCTCTTTACATCTGTCAAGAACCCTTTTCTTACCTGACTTGGGATAGGCAGACACGAAGACGTCGTCATCTCTCACTTCAAACGACTCCACTTGTTCCAAACCGCGCGGGTCAACCGGTGAACAGAACCGGGCGCCCTGAAAATAGAACCATGGCGAGGGGTATGCCTCCTTCTCGGTCATTTTGACGTAATGACTGCGACGAAGAATCTATAATAGTTACAGTACAGGCAACTGCGTAAACCAGTATAAAGTGTGACAGAAATGTCCAAAATCTTTATACAATGGTGATAGTACTAGGGAAAGGCCCCACTGAATACGTAACAGACTACTGTTGAATAAAATGCTACAGTGAAAGCTGTTGCACTACCTTTATAAGCGGCCAAGTGACTGTGCGGTCATCGCCCACTAGATCGTTGACCTCTTTCTTTACACAATGTGTACACTGTAGTAATCTCCAAGCAGATCCCTTTCAGTGGCGAGACAGTATCCATTAGCCAGAGAAGGTCGCCGGCCACCGACGGGGTGGGTACCGACAAAAAAGGGGGCAAATATAAGAGCTAACGATCATATTTCCCTCACAACCTCTGCTTGGAGAGTTGGTGGGGGTACTGCCAAAAAAGGGGCCATATATAAAAAGCTAACGGAAGCCCACTACGTAAGAATCGCAGTGAAATTCTACTACAGTTACCGACAACTGACAAGCAGTACAAGCGTCTATAGTGACAAAGAAAATGTCTCTTAATACAAGCGTGGTAAGATAGAAATTTTTTTAAATATACTGTTGCAAAAGACGGTTGAGAAACTGGTACAGCGAAAGTTATTGAGCGGAGAAAGTGACCGTGTGGTTATCGACCACTCGGGCGTTAAGCCATTTTCTTTACACACGTACAGTCTGGTAGCTATAGACGCTGTCAAAGAACTTACTAAGTCCACTAGCTGCCTTCAAATAAGAACTAAAACCATACAATATGATAAATTGTCCCTCGGATAGGACGTTAAATGGGGGTCCCGTGTTTGGGGAGATCCACACCCCACGCACGTTAACGAACCCACCACACTTATCGAAAAGAGTAGGGGACCTTCCTGGTGTGAGTGGTTCAAACCTTACAGTCCGGTCTTATGCAGCTTGTGCATGTACGTACATGTACAAAACTGGTGTGTTACGCCTAAAGGCGGTTTACCGGTTATGCGAAACAAACAAAACAAAACAAACAAATACATGAGAAATACATATTATATATTTACAAGGGCCATTATAGTGGGGGAAAATTCCTAAGTCTGCCTGGAGATGATAATTTTTTAGTCTTATAGGGAAAACCACAGGCCTCGGGGGAAGCCCTATCAAAACAGGTGACGTCACATGCTTAAAAATACACCCCCCCTCCCGGAAGTGACTTCGCATAATGGCATAATAACCCCCCCGGCGCATTCTGGAATATTCCATCATGTGTCATGGCGCGTGTTTTAAAAGGTGCATACAATGACATGTCTTAAATGAAGCGCATTTTGAATACAACATGTCCTTTCTCAAATACAATAGATAAAAGGCTAACGAGCAAAAATATAGTTGTATATATAATGGTTGCGTCTAATCATGTTGGGCAATGGCTGTGAAATATTTTTCCTGCATGCCCTTTGGCTTATCTTTGGCGTGTTTCAAGTGTACCCCTAACCCTAACCTACCCCTAACCCTACCCCTAACATCAACCCTAACCATAACCCTAACCCTAGCCCTAACTCTAGCCCTAGCCCTAGTCCTAACCCTAACCCTAACCCTAACCCTAACCCTAACCCTAACCCTAACCCTAACCCTAGCCCTAGCCCTAACCCTAAACCTAACCCTAACTCTAGCCCTAGCCCTAGTCCTAACCCTAACTCTAACCCTAACCCTAACCCTAACCTTAACCCTAACCCTAGTCCTAACCCTAACCCTAACCCCAGTACTAGTGTGATTTGGGCACACGTTTAGACAGGTTAGCCAAAGAGGCTCGATGGGCGTCACTCCAACGTCAGGGAAAGGAAGATAGTGTTACTTGCCTTTCTTAAGGGCACAACGTCGGGACATGGTGAGTATCGAACCCGGGACCTAGTGGTTCCGAGTCTAACGCTCTACTGCCGTTGCGTCACCGACGCCAAAAATCTAACTCTAACCCTAACCCATATCTATATAAACTAACCCTTACCGTAATTCTAACACTAAACCTAGCCCCAACCCTAACCCTAGCCCCAGTCCTAGCCCTAGCCCTAGCCCTAGCCCTAGCCCTAGCCCTAGCCCTAGCCCTAGCCCTAGCCCTAGCCCTAGCCCTAGCCCTAGCCCTAGCCCTAGCCCTAGCCCTAGTAGTTTGTTTTTGGCACACGTTTAGACAGATTAGCCTAAGAGGCTCGGTGGGCGTCACTCCACTGCTAGAGAAAGGAATGCCTTTCCCACGGGCACAACGTCGGGACATAGTGAGTATCGAACCCGGGACCTATTGGTTCCGAGTCTAACGCTGTAACAGTTGCGCCACCGACGCCACAGATTTAAACCTAACCCTTACTCTCACTAACCCTAACCGTAACTCTAACCCCAACCCTAACCCTAACCCTTACTCTCACTAACCCTAACCCTAACCGTAACTAAACCCAACCCTAACCCTAATCCTAACCCCACGACCCTCCCCTGAAAAGTAACTGCCGTCTAGCGGCACGTACAAACAAACGCTAACTCCACTAGAAGACTGCACGGGAGGCACGCAAGCTTTGTCCAAACGTTCGGCTCCGGTGTCAAATTTTACTTCCTTGTCTTTTGTGTCCTGCGTCAGCCCCGAGGGCAGGCGCGCGGGTAACTGACACCTGTTCAGGGGAGCGGTATTCCAACAGGTTTTCAGTTTCGCAGTAGTTTGTCGTAAGAGTAGTTTGAGCGAGCATGGCGTCTCAGGAAGGTGTCCCGAGTGCTTACAACCCGGATTTGACCGTGAACTTCAAACCGTCCAAGTCTAACTCGGAGCGCGGTAAGGCGGCTGGCGAAACCGGGCTTCACCTGAAACTTCTCAAACTCTTTCTGTCCATACTTTTGGGGCTGGTCGTACTGGCAAGTTTTACGCTGTCTCAACTTTCCGCGATCTCGCTGGTAAAGTTTCTTCGCGAGGAAAATGCCACGTGCGGGTCTTCGAATTCCACGGACGTACTGAAAACTACCAGCCGGGACGTGACGAGTCTTATGGTGGTGTACATGTTGATGATACCTTACGGAGTGTCCTTTTTAAGAAGTGTGTGGAATGGCGCCTTCCAGGACTCCATACCCTGGCCACACTACAAAGCTATTGGGCTGGTAAGTCACTTTTTCCTTTTTCTTTCTTTCAAGAATTAGAAATACAAACAAATGATACATTAATAGATCTAGAGAGAAATTGTTTTTTCTACCTGTGTGTTTTTACATGTATGTAAAGTTCAGAAGCATAGTATATAGGCTGAGGAATACGGGTACAACAGAATCGAGACAGGGTCCCAAACAATGGCAATATGACAATAGCGTGGTCTTAATACTAGTCTAAGAGTAGTGTTTCAGACTGTATTGTTGAAGGTTTCTGTCGAAGCCTTTATGATGCCTTACCTTATGTAATATCGTCTTGCACTTTATTGTACAAGTAAACATAGGCTTCACAATGCCTATCATATACTATGTACTTGGCATGACATAGCGCGCGACATGAAATTTCAGAGGAGGTTACTAGTAAGAGCTGAAATACTTTTTCAATGGGGGCCCTAACATTGTATCTTTATCTGTATAGCCGGTATAACCGCCTTTCGGCGTAACACACCAGCTTCGCAGGCAGCTGGCTATATTACACCGATCGACTTGTTACACCTAACCCTTGAACTTCTAGCTCTAGACTTTTTTGTCGTGCGATTGGGAACATTCTGTTGAAAGCCGTTTATGTGTTGTTTGTGTGTCAGTTCTAGTTGTCTTGTGACAGAACGTGTTGTCGTAAGTCCTTTTTGGACGGTCGGCTCTTAGTCTTACATAATCGGTCTATAAATCCTACGACAATCTTACGACATTTCCAACCGTACCTACAGACGTACATGTAGTTAGTTATTATTAAAGGAGGATATATAACAAACGTGGGACGTTCTATGTACATGTCGACTAATTAATATTTCAAATACATGAAGACAGCTTGCCTATATAGCTGTCTATGGTATGGTCTACCTAACAGAACATGTAGCGGACGCAGCATTATATATTGCTGACTTTTGCTTGTCTAGCAAACAAGCTGTATTTTCAAAGTGTGCGGTATGCCACCAGTTTGTCCTACGTATTCAATAGTTTATAGCATTATGTTTATATTGTCCATTATTAAATTTTACTGCGGCATTGTAAAAAAAGAAGGGTACGACAGTAGTTAAAGAAATTCTTTACTTTTCTCATTATTAAAAAACCTTCAGGTGTAGTCTTTGTGTCTATGACTATAGATATTAAACGTATATTGGCAATCACTATTTGAAAAGTCAAAGACTGACCGCAAATTTGACAATTTGATAAATATATAGCAGGGTGTACAAGCCAATATCACTTATTGTTTGTGGTTAAGTAAAAAATGTATAAGTAGTGGTTTGGTGGTTCATAGTCCCCCTCTTACTTTTCTTGTTAAATGTAGACAAATATATATAGATTTAGGACTTAGTCTAAGTTGGTGTGGACAAGGGTACGCCTTCTTGGTTGGGATTGCGTCTGTGACTGTAATACGGAAGTGCTTGAAAAATGTGTCCTATGAACTAGTTTATCTAACATGGTGGTACTTTGCGTTGCAACACACACACACACACACACACACACACACACACACACACACACACACACACACACATGCACAGAGGCGTATAAAGGTGGCATTTATGTACATGTGATAAAAATAAGTAATGTGACTACAGAAAAAATGGAAAAACTTGTAAACTTTGGCTAATATTTTGAAGCATGTTGACAAACCTGACAACTGGAGCGGAATAATTTTGATAACTGGTAATTAGCAGGAAAGGGTCAGACAAGGTGAGGAGACAATAGTCCCTACTACACAGTTTTAATTGGCAGTGTCAAATCCCAGTAAAACATTTTTTTCTCTCATTTCCTGATTCACATTCCTACAGAATTTTCACTTTCAGATGTTTATATGCAGTCACATTTTTTTATATTCTGTTGTTTCGCTCTCAGATACTTTTATATCTTTCAGATGTTTTTAAATCCTTCAGATATTTTTATATCTTTCAGATACTTCTATATCTTTCAGATACTTCTATACCTTTCAGATTTTGTATACCTTTCAGATACTTCTATATCTTGCAGATACCTTTTAAATATCTTTATATCTTTCGGAAAATTTCATATCTTTCAGATACTTCTATCTTTCAGATACTTCTATATCTACAACACGGAGGTATTTTAGAGCTTGAAAAAGAGTCCTGTGATCTAGTTTTTGGTACACACCAGTACACGTGCGTGAACACAGCGGGGCCTCCACATGTCAAAACAGCTTACGCTCTTAAATTATCGCCTCTTTTCGTGGAAATCGGTCCTGTTGTCTCGGTTCCCTTTCCATGTTTGGAAGCAAGGGTTGTTGATCGAGACAAGGTAAACAAGAAAAGAGGCTTTAAGAAACAAACCGTCATAAACTGTATCAGGTCATTTCCTGACAAGGAAAAATAAAATACCGGTGTGATAGACCTATATAGCCCCAAACTGAAATAATCATGGAATGAAAGTACAAATGTATAGGAGATAAAACAAGCTCTAAAGTACATTAACAACATTACGAAATGGTGGTTGAAGCTCGTCAAACCACTAGGTAACGTACAGGTAAACATTTAACGAAAGGCGCAAGGAAGAAAATGCCTTGGATTTAATCGGCCATGACGGCTTATGTACGCAAAGCGATGACAGCTAGGCTTGGCATGAAAATAACATACTTACGCCTTAAGAAACCGTGTGAGTGACGTGCGTTGACATACCCCCTCCCTCTACTCATGCCAGTCCTTCACCACGTTTTCGGGAAACGCAGCAAACGTGGCCTCCCAAAAAGACGTACGGAAAAAAAACACGTACGGCGGGTTGTGCCCCTCGCTTCATATAATCACTAAAGCATCCAGAAGCGTGCCCATCTGGATAAAAAAACAACGACACACCATGATTTCAAATACCTGTGACAATATGTTTGTACACGCACTTCTACTCTTTTACATTTGCTTCAAAGCAAACATAAACAATGGAGACAAACGACACACCTTGATTTTGAATACCTATTACGTCTGTATGGTAGTTATATCCGCATGACGGGAATTTTTGTACGTTAACGTGTGTCACTTTATGAATTGAGCGACATGAACTAAGCGACAAAAAATCCATTTGTATCGGTACCTACGCCCAGGTGTCATAAAAAGCCGAATATGCCCCCCCTCCCCCCTGCCTAGTGTTCGGCCAGGTCAGCTACTGTTCGGTTGCACCAGCTGAATGTTTAAAATGTTAAGTGTACATGTAGAGTGCTAAAACAAAACATAAATTATGGGTACTTGGTAGATACAATATTGACCAACATTCATACAAGTGTTTGGTCAATATGATTGTGAATACACTTCGGTGAATTTATGGCTTCTTCTCAGAAAAAGGTTGATTGGAGAGCTCATAATTGTTCTCACGGCGACCTTCGCATTGATCTGTGACACACCTGTAACGTTACCTCTGTCCAGGTAAGCATTGTTGTCACAGCTACGGTTTAGGGTCAGTAGTTTGCTATAGTGCCGGTCAGATAGGGGCGTATAGCCGACAGCTGGGTGTAAAGGGACCGCAGCGTTCTTTGTATTTTGTATTTGTATTGGGGTAGGCCGGCTACTCTCTTTCTCTCTTCCTCTCTCTCTTCCTCTCTCTCTCTCC